GCCAAGGGAAGTTAGCTCTGATACTCCGATTTCACACTTGTCTCTATTCAATTTCAGCCTAACATTTCGACACTTCTCAAGGACCATTCTCAGTCGCTTATCATGTTGTGACTTGTTATTACCCCATATGATCATGTCAAATGAGACGGAGATGGCGCGTTAAATGTCAGTATAGAACCTTTTCTGATCAAGCTTCATTTGCCAAAAGCCACAAGAAGCGTCCAGCTTGCTGAAGATTTTAGCACCTGCAAACTGTGACATCACCTCTTCTCTGGTAGGAAGTTTGTGTTCTCGCTGAATCGCCAAGCTTAGTTTTCTCGAGGCAAAGCAAATTCTGAGCTTGCCCTGCTTCTTATGCACGATCACCATCGAACTGACCCATTCAGTGGGCTCGGTCACCTCCGCGATGACACCAAGAGATTTCACCCTGGCAAGCTCTACTTTCAGCTGCTCATGTAGTGCAAAGGGAACTTTGCGACATGCTTCAATAATTGGCTTGACTTTGTTGTCAACTGTAATGCTATGTTCACCTGGTAGACAGCCCAGTCCGGTAAACACATCTTCATATTCTGAGCGATTACCTGGTGAACTGTATGAGAATTCTCTGACTTGATCTACGTTGACCTCATAGATACGGCGTATAAGATCTAATCGTTCACAGTCATCGATCTCCCAATATCGATCTGTGGTTGTCTGGTGTAACTGCGAATACTGTCTTGTATGACTTGCCTTTGTACGTGATTGTGTCTTCTGTTTGTCCCTTTACAGGTACGTTGGTTCCGCTATATGCTTTCAGGCTCACCTTTGAAGGTTCATGTGGTGGCTGCTACTGCCGTTATATTCATATCTGCACCATTTATGTCAAGATTCATTACCCAAGCTTTCGTATGTGAATCTTGAAGCTGCTCAGAAAGAAATCTGATTCTTGTGGTGCATGATCTTTAGTTGCGCCGATTTCGTGAACATGTTTTGACTTGTGGTTGTTTTACATTGAGCTGTAAAATGTCCCATACGATCACATTTAAGACATTTTTACCAGATGCAGGTCATTTTCACCTCGCTTATGATTATGTGCATCATTACCACATATACCACACTGTTCAGTTTTATCTGTTTCCGTGAAGTTCTGTTTTGATTTGTGTTTTGGCTTAGATTTGACATAATTAAGTGTTAATTTATCATCTCTAAGCAGTCTCTCACAATTAGCGCTATTGTACACACCACAACAATACCGAATCAGAAGCTGACTATTATGAATACAAACAATCATAAAATCAATTGGAAATCCATTGATTGCAGATGATCATTCTATGGACATGTTTGAAAAGCCAACGATATATCTCTAAATGTAGATTCTATTGTCAATATCTTTAATGAGATTATTTACAGAGCCAGTACCAGAACATTTGGCAAACGAAGGCATCAAGAAAAACAACGGCCAGCATGGTTTGACTCAGAATATGAAAATTTGAAAGCAGATAAGCACACCTCCCTAAATATATTTAGGAAATCAAATCTAAACTCTGACTTTGATACCTATCAACGACTTCGTGAAAGTTTAAAGGTCTGCGCTCTCGCAAAAAAGGGAACACGCTTACAAATTGCAACATGAAATAACATCTAATATTGATAACCCAAAAACATTTTGGAAGAACATCAAAGACATACTAAAGTTAAACCAAGGATCCTCTACTATCACAACTAAACAATGGTTGCAAAGAGAAAGACAATGTGAACTTTGTAATATGGGAAAAATCGAAAATGAGTTCCACGTAATCCTCGAATGCACTTTTTACACTGAAATTCGTAAAACCTACATAAGTCAATATATGTCTCAAACCTTTTATAATGTCATTTCAAATAATGATCTAAATAGTCGAACTGCCCTTGCAAAGTTTATTTATCATGCACTGAAAATGAGAAATGTTGTAATTCTATAATTTGATTTATGTGTTTATATATTTATTTAATCTTCGATTGTAAATTAGATCATTGTATATTCCTAGTTGTACACTACATTATGTATTTATTTGAAAAGTGGTTATAAGAAAAGTAAATATTGCACATTTACATGCAATGAATATTTAAACTTGTATATTATGACAATTATTATTATAATTATTAACTTGTGTCATTATTGTATATATGTTCTTTGGGTCACTGACCTTCAAACGTAATAAATTAATTACATTATTATTACAAACAATTCTGTCTCTAATTAAACTATCTTTCAAATTATCAAATTCACAAGATTTTGCCAATTGCTGTAACTTACAAACATATTTATCAATTGTCTGGTCTGACTTCTGAGAACATGTGAAAAACTTGTATCTCTCAAATGTTATGTTTTTTCTAGGAATACAATACTGCTCAAATTTTTCAATAATTTTCTCTAACTTCATCTGATCTTCTTCAGCATTCCATACAAAAGAGTTTTATACTTCTCTTGCATCAACCCCTATGCAATTGAGGAGTAGTGAGGAGTAGTGAAGACTTATATTGGCCAGCCTTCTGTTTGCCATCCAGCAGGAGTCAAATAACACTACCATGCTAGTTTAAATCTTCGCCAGTTTTCACTACGATTACCGGTCAATTCATGTATTTTTTACCAGTTACCAACTTCTGACACCATATAATAGTCTGCAAACTTCTGGTTAGGAGGTTGGAACATAATGAGCCAAAACTAACTGTTTTTTTGGTAGCCATGTTGATTAAAACTGAAGGGAAACAACTCTTGTTGGTATGAACAATACTATTAAAAGGAAGCAACTCCAACAATGTACATTGACTTGTACATTGATGTAAAATCAATCGCTTAAGTCATGCCACTATGTTCCTATCGCTGTATCGCACCCCGATCACTTCCAATCACGGTATCGACACGAAACCTTGTAATATGACTTATTGATGTGTCTTGATTACTCACAGCAACTGTCAGACCGATCATACACCCATGCTATGTTAAATCAGTCGCTAAAGTCATACCACAGTACCCCTATTGCTGCATGGTACCCCGATCACTTCCGATCGCAATATCTACACGAAACGTGGCAATATGACTTATTAATGTGTCTTGATTACTCACGATATACCTGGTCATTAAAAAAAGACCTACCTGACTTCACTGACCATTGGTCTATCAGAAATGAAGAAATGACCATTGTCTTTTTGTACTTTTTTAAGACTAGTGCTATATGGAATCTAAGATTACTAATATATAGATATATATCATTATGCACTTAATAAATTATCCATCATACCCACGTGGACAGTCTTTGATAATGCATATCACGTTTTTGTTTATTGTCAACGTTACCATGTCCAACGCTCAAAGACTCTTCACACTCTCCATGTGCATCTCCTAATCACCAAGTTGCTGTTTTACCTGATTCATCCTAGTAAAAAGTTGTCTCATGCCTGTTACCCGGTGGCTCATTTTAACTGAGATTTACCTGATTCATCCTAATAAACAGTTGTTTTATGTCTTTTACCTGGTGGCTCATTTTAACTGAGATTTACCTGATTCATTCTTATGGACAGTTGTTATATGTCTGTTACCTGGTGACTCATTTTAACTGAGATTTACCTGATTCATCCTAATAAACAGTTGTTTTATGTCTGTTCCCTGGTGGCTCATTTTAAGTGAGATTTACCTGATTCATTCTTGTAAATAGTTGTTATATGTCTGTTAACTGGTGACTCATTTTAACTGAGATTTACCTGATTCATCCTAATAAACAGTTGTTTTATGTCTGTTCCCTGGTGGCCCATTTTAAGTGAGATTTACCTGATTCATTCTTGTAAATAGTTGTTATATGTCTGTTAACTGGTGACTCATTTTAACTGAGATTTACCTGATTCATCCTAATAAACAGTTGTTTTATGTCTGTTCCCTGGTGGCTCATTTTAAGTGAGATTTACCCGATTCATTCTTGTAAACAGTTGTTATATGTCTGTTACCTGGTAGTTCATTTTAACTGAGTTTCACCTAATTCATCCTAGTAAACAGTCGTGTCTGTTCCCTAGTGGTTCATTTTAACCGAGATTAATTTGATTCATCCTGTTGTATACAAAAAGTTACTTCGGAATCCTACCAAAAATTTACTATAATATCGAACGTTTTGTGATACAGAACGCATTTTTAAGAACAACTCAAATTAAATATTTTTCGATTCCTCTAATTTTCGATAGAGTTCATCCTTGGATGATAACAAACACTCATACAAAGTTTCGTCAACATCCGTCAAGAATTGTGCCTTCTAGAGTGTTTACGTGTTAAAAATTTAATGCATTTTCAAGAACAAGGGTAATAACTCATACTTATTATTTCATTTCCTTTCTGATCATCATTGGGTGATTACTAACACTCATACCAAGTTTCATCTAACTCCGTCAAGTTGTGCCCTCTGGGGTGTTTACGAGGTTAACATTGAACGCATTTTCAAGAACAAGGGCAATAACTCAAACCAAATATTTTATCGATTTTTCTGATTATCGATAGGGTTCATCCATGGGTGATAACAAATATTTACACCAAGTTTCGTCAAAATCCGACAATAATTGAACCTTCTAGAGTGTTTACAAGCTAAAATTGGAACATTCAGAACAAGGGCAATAATTCATGCTAATAATTCTTCGATTTGTCTCATTTTCAAAAGAGTTCATGCTTTGGTGATTACTAGCACTCATACCAAATTTCATCTAAATACGTCTGGAGCATTTACGAGCTAAAAATCAAACAAGTTTTCAAGAATAAGGGCATAATATGTTTCAGAGTGGGTTTTTTTTGGACACTTTGACTCGAAAATAAGTATGTTTAGTAAGTTCTCTTGGAATAATGGTTGAGCTGGTTGTAAGTTATCAGGGCGTGATAGTAGGGCGTGATAGTAATAGTATATTTTTAAAACTAGCCAATCAATGCGAGAGACACAAGAACGTCACACCCCGAGTGTTTTATAGTAAAAACGTCTAGTTGACTACAAATCTTATTTAGAAGTACATGCCTTAAAGCTTGGATATATTATCTGCGAATACCAGATACGGAATATTTATCTAGTGTTAATTCAGTTCTTAGAATTGTCAAGATGGTCGAAATTAAGGGATTTAGTTTATTTTCTCTACTAGCAGTAATTCTTGCTGGAATTGGTTGTTTATTTCATCTAATTGGATTATCAGTGGTATATTGGGTCGTTTCAGATCCATTTGTTTCTGGATATGGTAGTGGTTTATGGCAACAATGTGGTCTGACATGCGCTTCTTATTCCTATACACCTGGTATGTAACCTTAATAACACATAATTTTCACCAGGTAACCTATAGCTCCAAGCAATACAGAATTTCTCCCGAAACGAGTTTATGTTGTTAAACTGTCGTAATATTTGTAAGAAATTTAACCCAAAATAGTTTCCCTCCTCGCCTTAATAATATCAGTATCGATTATGAAATGATCTCTGAATGCAGCATGGAAGCCGATTTTTTATCTTGGTGCTTGTAATAAGTTCAGACGGACGAGGTGTGAGGTTGTAAAGGGCACGATTTGTTACTTTTTCGTTAGTGTATCAATAATCTCCATCACACACGTACTGAACCCTATCTTGTCACACATTATTCTAAGAGTACTGTAATCAGACTTGCAGTGAAAATTCCTAGAACAGTTGGTCCATGGAATATTTATTGAATATTGGTAAAATTGTAATAAAACATTTATAATAACAAAATTAGTCGAAATATAAATTATAACGTAAAACATCAATTTGAGTTCCATACTTGATCTAATTAGCGTACTGTATTTCTCATAATATAAGGAAATTTGAAACTGGCCCACACCCTCAGATTTAAATAGGGCCAAGTCCTTCAAAGGAACAATGATAAACAAAAGTATTTTTAGAGGCCTAGTGAATACCTGGGTCAGCAACCATTAAATGTAAAAACAAGATTCATCAAAGTTTTCTTATAAGGTGGAGACATTATTATTTGTGTTGATTCATAAGATAACTACAAGACACACTTGTTGATTAATGGCTTGCCAGAGCATGGAATTTCTTTACATGAAGATGAGACAGTACAAAAAAGTAACGCCATTTGAAATTTCCAGACCATTATAACTAACCTCCAGCAGATATTGTAGGAATCGGCAGTAGAAGATTAATTATTGCAACAAAACATACAATTTTCTAATTCAGATTACTGGAAAGCAACACAGGCATTTGTAATAATTGGTTTACTGATTGGTGTTGGTGGTTTAGTAATGTCTCTGGTAGCAATGATACAGAAAACTAGAATGTTTCGTCTTCTGGGTATGGTTGGGTGTGCAGCTGCTGGTAGGTACCATTCTTCCGTATCATAAATAACCAAACATTATCCCCTCAGATATTACTCATCTCGACGTTAGTTCTTCAGACAAAATATGGTGTAGAACTATTTGTCTATTTGGCCGTCATAAATTGTTATTATCAAATTGATTTGTAAGTTCATAAAACGCAAGATATATTTTGTTTGAAATCCAAGGAAATGATCTAAATGAACAATGCTAATTTTGGTCTTCTATCTCTATTTCAGCATTATGTATTTTGCTGGCTATCATTATATTTGGAGCATCTATTACACTAGGTCGTGGAACACAATGGGGTTGGGGATTTATTCTCTGTATTATAAGTTCATTTTTCTTCATCGCTGCTGCTGTATTAAACTTCTTAGAGTATAGAGGTGCTGCAGTTTAAATATTTCATTATAAACATTTCCTGATTAGTAAATATTTGATGTCAAATACACCAATGAAAGGGATTCACATGGGAATTTATAACCTTTGTGTATCTGGGGAACTATTTGATTTCAATATCTCTATTAGAAAAGGGTTAAAATTTGACCAGATCCTGAATACCTATCGATAGGTTTGTCTTCCATGCTGTCATATATAGACATTGCAAGTTTATTTACAAATTTTGACCAAAAAAAAAAAAAAAAAAAAGTCCAAAAAGTAGGGAGGGCTACAATACTTTACTGCATTTTATCGTTAAATTTTTATACTTTTTTGGTTCATGATGATATTTTAGAAAAACTTTTGACGTAACTATCCCAAATGTCATTGAAGCGAAAAGTTTTTTCGAAAATGGTATCGCAATCTATTGAGGTTTTTGACATTGGATGAGAAATTGGAAGAGTAGATAGTATCCCGGATACAGTACTAAGAATCACCTTTTGACTCCTTATACTCTAAATTGGAAAATGATTATACCGAAGTCAAATAATATTATTCTAATGTCACTTGTATGAGTTATGAGCTCAGTCGATTGATGGATTCCTGAAAGTTGACCTATAGTAAAATATTAATGGACATTTTATATTTCATCACATAGTGCCACATAGATGTTAATTTTTACCGAAAGTATAAGTGTTATTATTATCTTATGAAATATATATAATGTATATTGCCTTATTAACAAATCAATTAAAAATTTTCTATTTTCTTATAATTCTTATTATTTCTTTATTTTTTATTTTTTATATATATCTTATAATATAATATTCATAACATTCTTGGTACTTTTGCCGATTGGAATATCATACTTTATATATATTAAAAGTTATATAGCACTGACGAATAATGATGAACGTAATGATTAGCAAATTTGTACATAAAAGTAATGTGATATTCTTTTTCATTACTCGCCTTATAAAGCCCATATCAGAATACAAGAAAAGGCTACATACTTTTCAATAAAACACATAATGGAAATGTCAAAAAAACTTAAATATCTGTTATTCATACAGGCTTACTTAGCTGTTGAACAATTCCCCCATTCTTTGAAAAGTCAGAATTTGAATATCATTATGGGAATGCGTTGGCATTTTAGTTGAGAGTGGAACATGACTTGAAAATGTTGGTGGGGAAAAGAGCTCATGCGTAGCTGTTATTTGGTAGTATATATCATATAGTATTATGTTTAATGTTTCATCTATTTACTTCTCATGTTCTAAAAGTTCTAATATTATAAATAAAGTTGTTATTATATGTTTAATCACCAACTATATGCTTGTCATTATAGACTCATTTACCTTCTCTCATTCGAATTGTTATTCCCCCTCCCTTCCCTACCCTTTCAATTTTTTTTATCATTTTACATAAGGATAGAATTGTCTGCGCCCCCTTGCTGGCCTCCCTCACCTAATGTTTCCTAGAAACACAACTGCCCACGCGACTGACTGACCGACCAACCGACCGACTAGCCGATATTTTCTGAAAACAAGCCACGACGCAGATGTATCTCAGATCAAAGTGCGATTTTTCTTTAACAAATGGTCAAGATTGAATCTAGGGGCATTTTTACGCCAGTTGACAAATGTCCACAATAGAACAGTCCAATTAAAAATTGGTCGTAAGTTTACAAATTTGCGCAAGCGACAAAAGGTGAAGAGCCCATTAATTGATTTAGAGTGAAGATGAACCCCCAAAACAATACACAAGAATTATAAATACATCTAGCAGTATATTAATTTCATATTGTAACTATGTATTGAATATCTATATCAATATGGTCATTGTGTTGTCTGTGTAAATTAGATCATGGTTAATTAAAGAATTGTGAAATAATATGTTGAAATCGGTTTAAAGGAATTCTGCCCCTTGCACATAAAATTATAATTCTTAAATTAGATTTTTCAACCTTGTGGTAATTTTCCCCCAAGGCGGAAAATTTGACATTTTGGCCGCTTTACAGTGTAACCTTAAATTTTGGACAATAAAAATCTAAATCAATTTCTATTCAGTCAGGCTATATTCTAAGATTCAAATTCTGAAGGCAAATTGAGAAAATCAAGAAAAAGTAAAGATTTAAGGGGAAGGGGGTAAAACACTCGACTATGGATCTTGAAAGGGGTAATGGAGATAATTATACAGAGATTATGTTGATTAGTCACCAGGTTAGTCCACTGAATATGTAAGAGGTAGAATTATTTTTAGAGTTATTACAGTCGATCCTGAAGTCGACCTGTTTTTCCGGAAATAATTAAGTTCTTATCAGCTGACAGTTGACTATATCCATACATATTTCATAAATCAGAGGCATTTCAGTCATTTTCTTTCAGGGTATATCAAGTGGACTTCTTTAAACCAGTACAATTCAAAATACCAGCCGCCACAAAGAAAAATGTGCTAACAATACACATAATGAAGCCCCATCCCCACTGTGTTCTTCTTTGTAACCGGGTCTCTGTACCAAAGATGATAATGGCAGTTAAAATACACCCAGCTGAAATCAGGAAGAGCAGTGAATTATCATATATACCTTATATATCCAGCGGAATTGATTTAGATACATCTAAGAGGACATTGGTTGTGATGCAAAAGGCCGACCCGAGTGCGATCTGCGTTTTTCCTGTCCGTTGTACAAAGCATTAAATTTAGACAATTAATGGTATTAAGATAGCAAGACACAGAAATAGGATGGAACATGATATAAATCTATCAGTTACACAGACGAAATGCTTACGTCATGGTAGTTATGGTTTAACTATGGTCAGATTAGTGCAGTACAGTTTCGTGGAGATATCCATTACGGATCCTAAGTGCAAAATAAAAGTTTGGAACCAGTAAACCTCTTTACAATTTCTTAGGTCTACAAAACATACCTGCCAAGAAACAAGCTAGTCCAGCCAAAACGCTGAATACTTTATTCTGTTTACATATTAAAATTATAGAGAAAATTACAGCTACTACACCAACTATAAATCCTATTACTACGAACGCCTGTGTTGCTTTCCAATATTCTGAAATGAAGAACATGATATAATCCATAAAGTGTGGTATGTTTGATATATTCAATTACAAAATGTTAGATATTAAGTGCCACTTCTAGATTCTTCTGAAATGATTGCCTCTGAGACGTCATTAATCATACCAATCTCCATCTACATCGGATGTTTATACCAAGTTTCATTAAAATCAGATTGAAACTGACACTTCTTGCAGTTTGCATAATATATTTACTTTAGTAGTTGAGGAGGAATATCATTAAAAACTCTATACAGTCTGTCAAAACGGCAGCAATATGTACAAAATAGCAAGATTAGGGTTTAATAAGTCGTCAGTTAATGACCATATATATGCTATAAAATATGTTGGATATGGTAAATAACATAGTTTGTGAAGGTCAAGGTTTTGTTTATTTCTAAAGACATGAAAAACTGGTTGTATTATTTGGCCAGTGTTGCATTAACTTTATCATTCAACCGCCCTAGCTACACCAAGGAATGTGTGGATTGTTTATATATACATTTATCAGATAATGTATTAGATATGAGGACAAACCCCATAATAGACACACATTGATAAAGACTATGGCAGGGTACACATAGACTACACCATTCAACACCAATGTACACCATATACCTAAGCGACATTTTATGAATCCCGTTCGCACCAGCCACCAAAACATCCATCTATTCAGTCAAGGATCCTTGAGTTGCATCTATTAACAGTGAGCTAGTAGGAAACTTCACTTATGACTAGCCTAGTGGCAACCTTCCGTCATAGCTTGAGCTCTTGTATTTAGTCTACGGTCAGTACAATAAACAAGACATAAGACACCGCCCCAATTAGAATATTAAATTTATGCTGCCAGAATGGTTGTACCTGACAGTAGTAAGTAATAAGGTAGAAGATTGGTATGGTACATATAGGAGGGTAACCTAGTTTTGTCTGAGAAGGTTTTCTGTCCATGGTATATTGGATCTCGTTTTCTGAAATATTGGTGAATTCAACACAATTAAAGCGGGGTTTCAAAATAAGAAACAAAATGTTGTAATGAATGGTGGTATTGGTATTGGAGATATCAATTATTCCTTCAATAGTTTTAATTCATACCCATGTTCGCATAAAATTTAAATTATCGGTTGGGGCTCATTTGGTTATTTCGGATTTTTTAGTTTTTTCAGTTGTAGTTTTACAACTAGAATGGTGGTTTCTAATACACTTACCAGGAACAGGTGGGTGTCTATGACATCCGACTATACTACACGTCTGCCATAACCCTACACCATAACCAGAGATAAAGGGATCAGCTACAATCCAATAAACAACAGACATACCCATAGTGTGTAGCCCTAGCCCTACCCCGGCTAAAACTACTGCTATAATAGCTATGACACCCATGTTTTACTGTTGTTATAATACTGTCCTGTAAGAACAATATGAAAAATACAAGAATTGAATTATATGAAGTTTTACGTCTCAATTATTAAGTTTACATGTATATGCAAACTCAAACGCAAATCCAAAAAAAAAATGGACCAGAGAAAATCCTATCCGCGGGGGGGGGGGGGGGGGGGGGTGTTTACTGACCCAATACCAAACAGGTTCCTTTACACATTGGCCGCCCTATGGTTCGTACACATGTCAGCACATGTTGAGTTTGAGCTGAGTTTGAGTTTGAGTTTGAGTTACGTAGCTTAAAGATGCGATTACATGTGTACACAAACTCACAGTCACTACCAAACAAAAGAAAACACGGACTAGAGCTAAATTGCGCTGCTAAAAAGGAAGCCACGATGCAGATTAATATTGAGATCGAGTCTGGAAAATATTGCTATGTGACATTTTGAGTGTTGTAAAATGTTGTAATAGGCATACAAGTAGTGATTAAAATGATGAAGGAGTCTTCTATCAGTCGATGTCTGCTCAAACCACTAGACAATGGCCTTTACTGAAACGGTCAATATTCATGCAATGTTCCAGCTGCGTAGTTTTTCACCTATTTTTGTATAGCCTAAGTAGTAGTTTATTGTCTTACTAAAAATAATATAGTAAAAAATATCACTAAATATTAAGACAGCAAGTTGTTAATATCCTCGTCTTATCGCAGACCAACCAACAATAATGAATGGTGATCTCTTAGGGTTAAAGTAAAATAAATAGTTTTAAACGAAGTGAGTATTAAAGGGTTAAGTCGTGAATAAATGAGGTAAGGTAGGGTGTGCCTAGTGAACGTTGCAGTAGAAAATAGAAATATCGAATCGCGTCCGTGTTCTGATCTATACCTCTTCCATTTTCTACTGTATTGACAATCCCACATAATACAAGGCACCGCATATTTAGGAGTGTGTTCAAAGTTTTGGAAAGAAATTGCGAATCAAGAATAGTCTTGTGGATAGCTCGACGTATCAATTAATGAATTTATAAAGCCAAGTCATATATATATATCAGCTTTAATAACCATAAATAATAGGTTTTTATATGAATTATTAACTAATACCCGTCCGCAATCAAGTAGAAATATCACATTATTGAAATAGGTCATAAAACCAGTATATTTTGTTATATTGTTTCTTAAATACATTGTATATTATTGATAAGATTTTGCATTGTGGTTTATTCTCGTTTAAGAAATAAAGGTGTACCTACCTTATTGGTCCACTGATGGTTCAACGATTAAATTATAAATTATACTAAAATAACATACACTAATTGTTAAAGTTTCCTTGAGTATGTTTCCTCAATCAGAAACGTGAAAGTTGAATGGAAAATTTACCGTATTTCAGTTGTAAAATTACTATTTAAACTAAAAATTATATGATATTACAGTCAACACCCAGTTTAATGTAAAATTTAGTTAAAATTCGAGTACAAGTGCAACTTTTTAAAACGTGTTTATTGGTAAAATTATTATTAATATATTAATCATAGGTAATATAGTTTTCAACTCCCATGGTGAAAACATTATCTACAACAGTTTATTGAATACATCAGGTGAAGTTTTTTTTTTGCTTTAAACAATATTTATTCAAGAATTACAAATATTACAATATACATATAGATAAACATATGGTTTTAGAAACAAGCTTTAAGCTTATATAAATCCATTACCATTCAAAAATAGTTACAATACGATACAATACAAATTAGGGAAAAATTTACAAACTATTTACACTAAATGGGGTTCTCTCAACTGTATCAAGCACAGCAGATATGGTTCAGTAAATTTAATTGTATGGATGAAATAAGATATGTTTGTTGGAGGTTTTGCTCATCGAGGTTTCGGTAATCGGCATGGCCCCACAGCGACCCCGGTCGATCGAGGCTAATATAGAGAACTGGAATGTCTTACGAAGATAAAACAGGTGGAGGTAAGTGATAGATCAATAGTTTGGCATGAGTAAGTGGTAGGACTCAATAGAACGAACCATAGGTAAGCTTCAATAGAGCTAGCACAAATTAGGTAAGTATCAATAGAACGAACCATAGATATATAGAGATCAGGTTTACCCCAGTAGAGCGAACCATATATCAGGTATGACTCAATAGTACGAGTAATGGATCAGACAAATCGGGATTTTTAATAGACCATCAAAAGGACGAACAATGAATCAAGTTAGCCTCAATAGAATCAACCGTAGATCAGGTAGGACTCAATGGAACGAGCAATAGATCCGGATAGCCTCAAGGGCTAACAGTAGATCTCGTGAGTCTCAATAATACGAACAAAAGATCAGGTAAGTATCAATAGAGCGATCAATGGACCAGATAAGCCTCGATACAACTAGCAGTAGACCCGGTTTACCACATGGGCAAACAAATAGACTAAGTAAGCCTTAATACAACGAGCGAACGAGAACAGGTAAGTCTCTTTAGGACGAACATTGGATCAGGTAAGCCTCAATAGAATGAACAATAGAGACTAGGTAAGTTGAACGGACCGTGGACCAGGTAAGACTCAATGGAACAAACAATGCATCAACTAAGCCTCAATTTAACGAACAATGCATCAACTAAGCCTCAATTTAACGAACAATGCATCAAATAAGCCTCAATTTAACGAACAATGCATCAAATAAGCCTCAATTTAACGAAATATCAAGCCCCAATTTAACGAACAATGCATCAAATCAGATGAAGTTGAATACATGTTATTGTTAGCTGCATGGATAACGTAAACACATATAATGCTTTCAATGTCACTAAGATGTGCAACCGTTTTTGCTAATCTCAGTTTAATTTTCATGTTCTTACATAAAACGAAACATCAAAATCTTTACCACTAGCATTTGGAAATATCGCTGTTTTTTTATTAGTTTTTTCGACAAATATATTTAAATGTGGTTAATTTACATGAAGGTTAGGAAAGACTCGTAGAATTGATCAGGTGGTTGTCGTCTGTTGACATACAAACCTGCTGATAAACCAAAAGGAGAGGAAGATAAAAGAAAGAAAAGAAAATATGCTGAAAACCGATAGCCATCAAGAGTAACAGGACACTGTCGATAGTGTCATTTGGAGTTCAGCCCCAAAATCAAACAGATTATTTCCTTTTGACCAAGACACTTACAGCTAGTAATTAATTAAACTTACACTGATTACATCTTATTAGTTTGCTACACCTGAACTTCTGAACTGCTAATTCTATATTAAATGCATTAAACAGAAATGAAATGAAATGAAATGAATGGAGTTTTACGTCCTACTTTTTTGCACCATGTGGGCTAATGAAGACGGGCAACGCCATGTAGGGTGCAATGAGGGAAATTTTGCCAGGACAGCGACATTAGTCTGCTCTTTTTCGATTTCCAAATGTCGAGGGATCTTTAACGTGCAATGCCTGTAGCATACGGGGCCTCGGTTTATTGTCCCATCCGAACGACTAGACGCTTTTTCCATGTCAGCCCCTCGTACCTGCATCACTGACAGGGGAAACCGGGTTGAAAAATCCGAAGGTATTATCTCGACCTATGCCTGGATTGAACCCTGGACCTTCAGGTTAGCGAGCAAGCGTCTAACTCACTGAGTCACCATTAAACAGATGTAAATGTCGAAAGTTTGCTATTTTGACAAGACTCCGATTAATTTAAATATGGTGTAAACCAATAAACAATATATAACCGATTCCAAGTCATATTTATATATTTTATATGATATATTTTGTAATTAAATGTTCCACTTATTATCTACATAAATTACCCTCTTATAGCACATGTCTTATTAAAGTGATAACATTATTGGTTGAACTTGACTTAGTTGATCCTGGTTTACAATGTAAGATGTTAAATACGAGCAAATAGAATAATACTGATAGAAAGTAACTAAATATATAAATATAAGGGAATGATTAACAGAAAAAATTAAATGAAGGTTTCCGTTCAACTTTTCAGCCCCGGTTTGAGCTTTTAAAACCAGTAAACAAATAAAAAAGCAATGTGATAATGAATATCTAGTATTCTAGTTAACACATTCTATGATTGGTGGGTAACATGTATATTTCTTTAGCAATGGTGTAGTAGGTTTATTAAACAACGTACCCCGTTGCTAAAAGGACATGGGTATCATGTTGCTAGAAGTAGGCCTATATTCAGTGTGATTTACAGTCAAACTGTGTAAAAGACAAAGAGGACAACAATGTGAACACAGGCGTGTGGTAATCTAGTATAACTTTGCTATGATTTATCACATTCCTACACGTTGTAGTTGGTTATGATTCATTTCATTCAAATGATACTTGTTGAGCTACTACTATTAATGTATGTTTATCTTTATTTTAAGATATTCAGTCTTATAAGTTGCAGATCTGAATGTTGACCTTTGACTAAAAATTTATACAACCAATGTAAGATCAATTTCATTATGCAGGTTATGAGAATCTTTTGATGAAGATATCTACCACTTCTTATTACGATATGTAAATATTTATCATTTAAAGGAATTGTAAGGAGGTTTTCTCAACTGTGTGTATCAGACATATTGATAGGATCTGGCATCGTTCCCATTTGACGCAGCCGTCTGTGGGTCGCGCAATTCTACTAAAACTATGCGTTTGATGTTATAACTCTCGCAGATGGCCCATAGATGTTATTATTTTTTTTATTTCGTCAAAATATGCGGTTATAAGCATTTTTCTATTATAAATGCAGTAACCAAAAATATTTGACGAAAAATTTGAATTATTCAAATAGAAATGGCCCCCATAGCCATACAAACCAAAACGACTTTTAAACCCGTTAATGTTCCCCTGTTTCCAGAACATACAAGGAGTAGTTATTATACAACCCAGAACTATCCCAGAAAAAATAGTAACATGTCTTAGATAAAGGATATTTTCTGTATATTTTGAGAAGGATCTAGTTTTAAGGGTTAATGCGAGTCAGATATTAAATGATGAAGTTTTCTTTTGATACTCGCTTTCAAAACATTGCTATCTTTTCATCATCATAATATTATAATATACTCTGCATATTTAATATGTATGTGTCTCATACCTGAATGGTATTGATACTATTATTATTTTAATCATGAAATGGGGGCGTATATTGTCCACAATAGCTCGTAAACACCCCAGAAGGCACAATTCTTGACTGATTTTGGCGAAACTTGGCATGAGTGTTTGTAATCACCTATGAATGAACCCTATTGAAAATCCGAAAAATCGAAAAATATTTAGTATGAATTATTGCCCTTGTTCTTAAAATGCTCGTAAACACTTTAGAAGGTGCATTTCTTTACAGATTTTTATGAAACTGTGAGTGTTTGCTATCGAAAAATATTTAGTATGAAGTAATTGCCCTTGTTCTTTAAACGTGAATTATTGACAGATTTTTACGAAACTTGGCGTGAGTGTTTGTAATAACCCAAGGATAAACCCTATTGAAAATCAGAAGAATCGAAAAATATTTCGTATGAGTTATTGCCCTTGTTCTTGAAAACGAGTTCAATTTTTAGCCCATAATCACTGTAGAAAGCACAAATCTAGATGGATTCTGACGAAACTTGGTACGAAACTTAGTATGAGTGTTTGTTACCAACCAAGGATGAACCTTATCGAAATTCAGAAGAATCATTAATATTTAGTTTGTGTGATTGCCCTTGTTCTTAAAAATGCGTTAAAGTTTTAGAATGTAAGCATTCTAGAAGGCCCAATTCTTGACAGATATTAACGAAACTTTGTAATATTATACAGTATCCCCCCAAAAAGTTCAAAAGAAGTGTAAGACTGAAGGTTGAATATTGAATACTGTTAATTGTAACTGTACTGCCAAATATCTTTATTTAAAATCAAAGCTTCCTGGCAAGCTATCTTTATTCTTAATGTTCAATCTATGATTACCTTGCCAACATAAGGCAAAAGATACGTCAATTGTATTCAGTTAACTCGACAGTTTTAACTTTATCTCAAAATATAGTATATAATTGGATGTTATTTCGAAAATTTCTATACTTCCACATAAAAGGGCCTACTGTCAGTGTTTGACTTATGTTGTTGCTGACCCATTAATAAAATAATATACGTAGTATTATGTATTTACACGAACTGTGTATGTCGGACCATTCAATGAATAGAAACAACTTACTCGTAAAGAATGTGAACTATTCATTGACTATTGCCTCGAACAGTGACCCAGTAATTTTCTTACTTAAAGCTTCTTAGTACAAATTATAATCTCACAGCACATTTAAAACATAATTTATTGGTCTGAGAACAGACGGGATCAGGGAGTTTTATCTCCGGAAACCTTACCTCGTATATTTGCTTCATCTTATTTGCAAAAAAGTTTCCACACCTACCCGCATCTTAAGAAAATAAGAGGTTTAGTAATTAACATTAAGTACACTATCCTTACTCAACATCTCTCTATCACCTCATATTATTCAGATTCAAGACCATATGGGAGGTTTTCTAAAATACTATCTTAATTTATCATCGCTGTTTTTCAGAACCCAAGATATATTTATGCAAACAGGTTGTACAAGTATGTTCGATATATCAACGGTGTATCAGTGTTATTAGAAAATAATCAGCGTTAGTCATATAGGCAGCTTAAAAAAGTTTTTATGATGACAATTGTTTTCTCTGTCCAACTAGAAAGGTCAACAGTGAGTCGTTAACAGCTGGGGAGTTGTTTCTCTTTTTACCTGAAAGCTGCTACTTTCTTATCAAATCCGTATCTATTCGAAAATTCTTTTTTATTTGATACATTTGGAATATATATTTAACTAAAATGTAGGCCTAGCTCTTGCGAGACACAATGGTTATGGTTGCTGTTCTTTAATTGTCCTTAATTTTTTAGTTTTTTCTCTAGACCTTCTCGACAAGCATCATGCCGACAGCAATTTCCTAGACCAAACCACTCCAAACCACATACTCTGTAAGCCCCATCTAAACTGACATATTTGAAAAGGCCTGATCCAATAACTATACAAGGACTTGCTTAATGCTACAGTTTGGTGATAGAATGGTAGTCCGTCTTCGTCTATAATTATACGGCTCAGTCTATTTGAATGAAATAACCACGTATTGGGGATATTATATGGGAGAAAACTCTAGCTTCTCAACATAAAACCACCAACGGTTTCATAGGGCGAAAGGGATCTATTACGTATTACCATAACAATGGCAAAAATATTCAGTAGCCAATAGGTCCGTTTACAGCTGTTATTACTGAAGATGTTAAGCGGTAGTAAGATGGTCGTATTGTCATTATCACATTGACATTAATATATGTCGACCTTTAAAATAACATACAATTTTTTTTTCATTAAGTTTAATAATATAACAGCATCTATAGATACATAACTAGTTGTAATATATACATTATATTATATGTTTTACAGTATTTTGTACACCATGGTTCCTGGTTTTTCATTACGCAATTTCGGTTTCAGAATTTCGAATTATCTATTGATGAAGCAAATTGAACGAGAATCCAGCTGTTATAATTATTTTGTCCTTTGGGACAATACATAACAACTTTACCCTACATTATAAGGGTCAGTAGGAATGCCGATAACAATGACAATGATCTGGAAGTTATCGTCTAAGACTATCAATATTTAATGCTTATAGATGTACATATTGAGACAATGGTATACTGTATGTTCTCTAACTATACCCTGTTTCCGAGAAGCAATATCTAATATATAACTTAATATAAGAATATTGGAAGAACAGATTGGAATGCTATGACTTGACTTCTTATTTTCTGGACAGCAATGCCATTACCATTTCTAACTGGATATTGCAGGAACTTGATATTCTCTACATTACTGCGAACTGTTGCCGAATGAATTAGATAACAATCACGCCTGATTGTCCAGTTATAAATGTTAATTGTACTACTGTCGTCCACCAGAAATACAATATACTATACATTTGTATAAATATAATATCTTCAATATAAAAAAGCATTTTGAGGTAAATATGATATATGCATTGCATAATGGAATGGTGTTTTTCTATAGCCATGCTTTTTATGCGAGTTTATCATTTGGTTTTTGATAAATAATTTCACTATATTTAAGTATGGAAAATGCAAGTAGACAATATCGATATTAATAAAAACAATATCCAACTTTCCAATTGTGGGTGCGATGACCAATTAATGGCAAGAACAGTACAATTTGGAATGTTATTATTATAAGCCTATTTCAATTTTTCACAAACTCTTAACAAATATTCACAATCTAAAATCAAAATTTAAAAATTCATTAAAAACAACTTGAATATAATGTTTTGGTGAAGGAAAGTTCCGCATTTTGCATAGACTTCTCTCTAAGAATTTACTAGTTAATTTAGAGAGAGAAAATATGAATTAAATAGCACCTCAAAATCTAAAAGAAAATTATAGCACATCTTACAAGGCACGAACTTGATTTTGAAAACACAACCTTTTCTGTTTCAAATTATTTTAATTATACAAAAATAAATAAAATTTGATAATTCATTTCATATTTTTAATAAAAATATTTCTGTGGGAAAAGATTTGAACACATAAGCGCTGGATGACATTAGACAAAAAAATCATTTTTTATAATTCAAATCGACAACTATCACAACTCTTTACCCATACCTGATAGATTTTGACTATTATTTGAATACATGTACACACAAACAACCACGGTGGTAGCAGGTTTAGTACAAGCGATACAATGAGTAAATGATGAACTACAATGATTGCTACACACAATCTTGGTTATCTGGACTTTGATTTCTATAGTTTTTGGCATTCAGCTCCATTCCAACGAGAAAGTTGAAATATCTCTGGTAAAGTAGAATCTTGCTCTGATTCACCATAAAACACTACAAACAGATCTCTGTTATTTCAAACTTTCTGGATTATATTCCCAAGGATATAAAAGTTCTTAAAATCTAAAGTTTGTGAATTAAGTCCATCTTTTTTCAGATCGTGGAGTTTTTGGTAGTTGTCGTGATTTTGTTAAGCCTCGTGTTGGTGTAGTACTACCTGGACGAGACGGGGTGGATGTGGTCCTAGGAGAAAATGTATTGGGGGTTGTAGGTCGTGACCTTTGGCCATAGGGCGAGGATGTAGGGGTGGGAGTAGTTGACCTTGGGAACATGGATCCTGATCGTCTGTTTGGGTTGTTAGCAGGACTGGAACCAGGGGTAGGTGTTTTTGATTTTGGACGTCCAGCACCATTTGATGTTAAACTAGAAGATGATGTACTTAGTCGTTTCGTTCTGGATAGACTTCCGGTTGAACCTGAAATTAATATCAAATTAATTTTAAAACACAAACCTGACATGACATGAAATATAGATATGAATTTTTTTATAATTTTCAATCAGACTTGTGTGGTTACTGCAATTACACTTAAACTAGGCTTTTAATGACATCACTAATCGCGAATAGGTCTTATGTGATAACGCTTAGTTTGCGATTAGTGACGTCAACAACCACTTCTATTTAGTGGAATTGCAAGAATCACAGACGTCTAATTGAAAAGTAGAAGTGCATATTGATGCTATCAGTGTCACCTATACACATGCAAATGTTAGAAAAACTCTTAACATTCCCTTTAAATGTATGTCATTTCCATTAACACAGCTATCAAAAATCTGATCTGATCTGATCTGAAGTAATACATGTAGAAAAATTGTATGTTAATAGTCAAAATTCACAATCTCATACATGATAATACATACAATACTGAAATACATTAAAATCTGTGCTGGTAATCATCTTTAGTTTATAAATGATTTTTTATTAGATGCCATTATTTTACCCTGGGATGATTCGTAGAGGCTCTTTTGCTTTCACAAATTCATGACATACCGGTATGGAAAAGGGGCAGAACAGCATTTTCTTACCAGCTCCTATAAAATTCTCACATGCAGTTATCATCCATATCATTATGAAATGGAAGTGAGGTTATCGTGGTATTTTTTATGAATTGTAAGAACAGGGGAACAGAACATCAGATTTTAATTCCGAAAAGTGCTATGGATAGCTGTACAGGACGAACACGACTAGAAAATATTTTATACCCAGTACTTGTTTCAAACACCACAGGGAGAGTGTAAAATATTATAGGTATGGAATGGAACATCTCTGGTATCTGAAGATGGATAAATGCACAAAGTTAAGATAAAGCAGTGGAATGTGTTCTTACCAAAGTCTGGGTTTTTGTGCATACCATTACCGTTAGAGAGATTGACCATAGAGGAAGTGATTCGACTTCGACGTAAGGAAGAGTCAGCTGAACTGCCAGCTGTAACAAAATATTAAGGTGTTGGTTAGTTTGGTGCTCAATGAAATATGAGAATAGAATACCAATGCTCGAAGGTAAAGTATAATGTCACTACAACTAGTAAGAATGGTTATCAGCTCTCAAATGTTTGCTAACAATATGTATCACATTAATGCAATAACAATTCTGTATACATCGCAGACATTATACTCAATATGTTTTGCACTTTTACAAGCTGAAATCATCTCTACCATATGTAAAAATAGAAACAGAAAACCTATTTGAATATCCCAGAGATGAAATTTTAGGACTGATACAGTGTATAGATTAAATGATCGAATGAAGGTACTTAAGGTCATCACTGTGATAAATGGAATGTGGCAGCCAAGTTTGCATTTGTTTTTCATCAACGACGTTGCTTTTTGATCCTTCGATGTCGACTCTTCCTACTATTGTGAAGCAGAATTCGACAAGCGTTGGATTGTTCACCTACCAACAGGGAACCTGAGCTGAGTTTAGACCGCGGTGAGACAGTTTAGTTTTGTAGGACATTGGCTAGCCTCGATGAAGTTAAAGTATGGGTGTAATGCAAATTGAGTATTATATTATGAAATATCAGATACACAATAATATGTATAATAATTAGGTAAATAGGATTATGATACATATCATGATTATAATGGTTATAATGTATTAAATGCAAGCAGTTATATTATACCATCATGCAGATAAAACCAAACAATCAATCAACAATACCAAGCAAGGTAGTCTGTAATTAAGATTTTGTGTAGCATTAAAATCGGGTTAGGAATTGTTGGTTGTCATAAAGACTTGCAGGAACAGAGATATTCGAACTTTGACAAATTTATAGGAGAGGATAAGACTAAATCTGTATTTTAACAACTTGCTAGCATGACCCTTCAAAAACAGTTTGTAATATTGCATTTGTGATTCTTCAACTTAGAGAATTAAAGATTCAAACAAACAAACATTGAGAATGGAAACCATGCCGAACTGTTAAATATTCAGTATTTTGTCTTTCCAATGAAGATAGTTTTGAAGTCTGAAATATTTCTATTCCTTGCTATTTTAAGACAACCGTTATTTTCAAGCCCAAGTACCTGAAGAGTTAGAAGAAGCATATCCTGTATCTGTTTGACGTTTACGTGTACCCGTTGGAAAAGGTGAAATACTACGTAAAGGTGTTCCACTGCCTCGACGTATGGTTCTATAATCTGGCGACCCATCATTTGGTATATGCAGAGTATCTCGTAGATCTGTGTTTAGACGACCTCTGGCTGTGTGGGAATAGGGTTAAAGGTTAAAATATATTTAGATAGATTGTTGGCCGAAACAGTTGACAGAGCAGTAAAAACTAGAAATGCAGGTCAGGTTTAACTTTTCACATCAGCACTTGAAGTTAGATGAAGCACTATCCTTAAAGGGAATTAAAATGTTTGTATTTCCAATCAAAACGGTTTCACATGATCTTTGTTCAATGCCCTGTCAAATGTTGCGGCCTATTACACATTAATCTATATATATATACATTGAGAGTAATACCAAGTCTTATTGAACCAGTTTGAATCAGTCATCATCAGGATCCGAGAACCACACCTGGATTATGTCGGATTTTATGACGAAGATATTGAAATTATGAAATAGGTACTTAGTTATTTCCATCCAAAATCATTTTGATATATTTTTGACAAGACATAACTCGTCTGACGTTTTCTAAATGTTTAGATTGAGACTTGGTATTACCTAAAAATCTGGGAAATATACAGATGTTGTACATCTGTTACAATGATACAATTGTTAGCAACTAAACTAACTACTTTGTTAGCATTGGAACGTATATCAATATAGTTGACGGCATCATAATAGGGGTTATACCCTGGGTATAATAAAACAACAAAAAAAGCTTAAGCTCCATGGCAACCCAAGCTTAATTTGAACAAAAAAAAAAAAAAAAAAAAAACAAATGCCTTTTCTCCCATATACAAATAATAAAAAAAATGTGTCCACCAAAAGATAATTAAAGTGACAAGTATTGAAAAGCATTCATTCCATAAACCATAGAAAACTTTCAATCTAGAAATCAGTAGAATACCTCTATATTCATTCATGTGATTATGGTGGGCTGCCACTTAAAATTCAAAATTCAATTAAATAAAATCTTGAGTAATCTCTGACAGTGGTGGCATCTTTTGATGCATGCAAATCACACAACTGCATACAAGCAATTCCAAAATTCAAGTTCTGTTATAATAGTTCTGTTAAAATTTCATATAAATGAAAGTTATATTTAAAAATTAACGATGTATTGTTAATATAATAAATAGATAGACTACTATAAAACTTACATCTACATGGATCATTTGTTTCCAGAAATTCATCTAATGTGATCCAGCCTCCACCAACTCTTACCATCACAGTACTGTTTAAAAATCTCACTAAATACGTTCTCTGTTTTTCACCAAACTGGGTAGAAAATATAATGAAGTTTTAGTGGTTATTACTTAACTAACTTTTCTCGAAAATTACAGTATAAGTTTTGCATTTTCAACTGTCAAATTATCTGAACTGTGTACAACTACAGCAGTCGTTTTTTTAACATCTAAATTTCCGTCAAAGTACCTGTATATTACTAGTAGATCCTTTTCCAGCATGATTTAAGGTAGATAATATAACTTAATCTAGATTGTTTTTACACTACTTACCCTATATTTTCCATCATCTACGTACAGAGCTTTAAACTGATCTCGACACTGACAACCAGATACTTCTCTCTCTATCTCATCATGGATTAGTTCATTATCTGATTTTGATGTACTCACACTGGTTCTTCGCTGGATAAACAAAAACATTTTTTTATAGAAGAATGAATAACACATTGTAACATTGAGTAAGATGTTAAAGAAAGTTGTGAGAGGGGGTTATTAGCTTTTTTAAAATTTGCAGGAAGTTTCAAATAAATCAGTTCTTAAATCAAAACCCAAAGTAGGATCCTCCATTAATTGAACTTATCCTGGGCGACCCAAATATGATCTTCTAAAGTGAAAAGGCTTCTACTTTTAGACATTTCATTGAAGATGAAAGAACAGATGAAGAATTCTTAAAAGAAAATACCTTATCTTGTTTGATAGCATCTATAAATTCTTTATATGCCATTCTAGGTTTACGTAACACTTGCTTCTCAAATATATCAAACACAGCATTTAATTCTGTTTTATTGGTGGGGAATTCTAAACAGGAATAAAGATGATTTAAAGGAATGGTGCTTGAGTTGAGAGACACATATTCCTATTGATGTGCAACAGACGGGCTTAACAGACTATGATTACTTTACAGTTCTATGATCTATGATGTTATGTCCCTTAGTTGAATCTTTTTTGTAGAAAATAAATAAAGTTTCTGTTTAGAAATACAGCAATTATTTCTGAACACAAGCATGACTTTCTTGAAGTTCAACGGTTTTATAGTAACTTACTAGATTGTAACATGCCCTGAACAAATTCCTCTCTACTAACAGCACCATCACAATCTTTATCTTGACGTCGGAAGAAATCTGAGATCCGGAACTTTTTATTCATTATCCATTTACGATACCGCACTCTCCATACGTTGAAATCAAAGTTTTTAAAGCTCTCCAACTGTGAATTGATAAAATTATTGATGATGTCATAATCTAGGCCACATGAGAAATCTTCCATCTTGTAATCCTTCTCCTAAGTTTGCTTGTCCTACTGGATTCTGTGTATTTCTATTTGAAGTGCACTACAACAACATTTCGTCTGTTTTGAGTGAATAAAAGATATACTCTCTTACCTCTAATAGAGTGTCGTAAGCATCTTGTAATTTCTTCTTTCTTTCTACTGACATTCTCCATACAATTCTCCAGCGATTCTGTAACGCTGTCACTCGTGGGTTGTATCCATCTATTTCATTTAATCTCATATTACTGGAATACAGCAGTACAGTTTGATTAGAAATAATAATAAAGCAGAAATATGAATTTAAACAAATTCATTGAAGCACCTGAAACAGGGAGAGGGGTAGTGTAGGAGGGTATCTTTTAACTGTAGAAATTGTCTTACCTGCCGAAATTTTTTCCAGGAGACATTTTGGTTTCCATAGTAACCAATTTAGTGAGACGTTCGGCATCAGCATTTCTATTAGTAACTTCTTCATGGAATTCCTGAAATTTGTAATTTTATCAATGAAAATCAAGGTGCTGTTTTATTTACAAATAATAATAAAAGATAGGATACATATTTGATCAAACTGCTGAGAGTCTGAGACATCTAATCTGTAATATCCATTTCTACCCACTGGTAAATAATACTTACTAAATGTTCTTTGAGAAGAGTATCAACAACTTGGAGATCTTCGGGAATTGGATCCCGTTCTTTGGTAGCTAGTAATGCTTGGGCATCAGTTAACCAGGATAGGAGTTCTTCTAACAGAGCAGCATTACCCTGTATACTGTGTAATGCTTCTTGTAATCTCTCAGCACGACTCTTCGCTCTTTGTAACAACTATAATTTGAAAATAAGGATTAGCACATACTACATATTATATTCATGGTAAAGGATTGCATAATATAATATGCCTTAGGAACTTTGTCTTGCTGAGTTAAGATTGCTAGCCTTGGTGTTCAGGTAGAGGATAATAGCTCAGAGTTCATTCTGTTGAATTCTGGGCAGTACAACAGAAATTGGTGAATAGAATACTACCATACCTGATCCCATCTGGTCTGTGTAATAGTGAGGTAGTATTTAACAAATCTAACAGCATTAGGATGACAACCTATCAATATCTCTTCAGCTAATGTTTTGATTTTATCCACTGTATCTTGATGCCCTCGTAATTCTTCTTGGAATTTCTAAAAAGATGCCACATAATCACTATTAACAATCACTATTAACAATCACTATTAACAACAAGTTGAAGAGAAGATTCATTCATAAGATTGCAGTTGATGTTTAAAAACTACATCTTCACTTAATAAACTATCATCAAACCTTCTCTTTATAATCTAGTTGGTAAATGAATTAGTAAGAATATAATTTAAAGACAGATTCCACCTCCATGGTATCAATATTTTATCACATCTGATGTGTATTTGTCGATTTAAACTAGACACACCAACACTTCTCAAACATCTGCCAGTCTGAGATACTGCTTTTCGACTGTCTTTTTCAGCAGGCTCTCAAAATCATAGAACAACATTCTCATATAACTCCCAATGCCTACCTCATGTCTTTCAATAAGCTGTATTATTGCAACTTCATCATCTGGGAAGGCTCGAAATTTCAACTCAGACTCAGCTTGAGGTAAAAATTCTCTCATTACCGTCACTACATCCTGGAATTCTTCAGCCTAGAAAATATAGTAAGTCTTACAACTCTTCTGTTAACTAATCTTTAAAGTATTTTTACTGAATAATTTTCCTTCAGGAATACCTGACCTGTCTCTCAAACTGGGTTTTTTGACAATGCATCCCCCTTAAAAAAAATTCCATATAGCTAGAACTGTTTAGTTTTTTTTTTAAATAAAAGAGATCTGAGAAATAATGTCACATGATGACTAGGTAATGTAGATGGTAAGCTTAATTTTTGTAATCAATTTCTAAAATTTAACCATAAGCTTTACAGAAAGTCATACCCACCAATTTCATGGCATCTCGAAGTTTATTTTCTCTAACATCACTCAGATAGTTGACTCTTTCCCATAAATTACCCAGTTCCTCTTTCTGAGCTTTTGGTACATTACTGGCATTTCTCATAGTTTCTACTGTTGTTTCACGGACTAGAAGTTCTTGTTGGATTCCCTGAAATACAGATTATATCAATAGACTTAGCCTTTGTAGTCATGGTTGACAAGGGGTATTGATGGACGAGTTTTACAAAACAAATTTCACACGTCGGTATCTATATTTGAGCTGCTTCATGGATATGGAATTTACACAATTAACTATGGTTTACAATCTCGTGCATCTGATGCATTGATATTTGCGTATTGTGACTAATTTAACAAATTAAATCCCCAACTCACCTTATGTTGTTCATTCAACATGTGAACAGTATCAAGATCACCAAGAACTGGTACATCTTCTTCTAGAGTAGATTCAGCTTTCTGTAACCATTCTATTAATGATTGTAAAGCATCTGATACTCTTCCTGATGTTAATAATGCTTCATCTAATTTATTTTGACTGAAAGAAAACATTAACATCTCTAAATAATGATATAATGTAGGTAATATTTATAGCATCCACTCAAATCATCTGAATGCATATAATCAATATTCGCCTTCTATACCTACTATACAAATACTAAATGTTCCTTGCAAGGCTTAGTTCAAATATCATTATTTTCAAAAACATTCAAACATAACAAAATACGTCTGACAATTAGTTTATCCACTAGTATTAAAGGAGGTGAACTGACAACGCCTTGTAAGTGTAAGATCTATACATTAACAAATAAATATTCAATAAAAGACACTAAAACAGAAACAACAGATGGATAATTATAGATGCAGATATTGAGCGGCTACACAACGTATCTTGTCCACCTTGTCATTACTTCAGGAGACAAAATTCGGAAAATGTACGAAAACACCTTAAAAGAATAATACAGTGAAATCTCCAGGATGAGATAAAAAATGACTAAACAATCAAATTGCGTACGTACATAATCCGACGAAATTTACCTTCAGGAATTCGATAGGACAAAGAGCAATCTTCTAAATTTCAATACCACTTACTGAGAACTGATAACTTTGGATCCATAAACACTGAAACCTAGGGGCCAAATTCCAGAAACACACAAATTGGACATCCTGAAGTCGCTTGCTACAGTGTAAGATTCTGTCCAATTTGAAAGAAGGAGTTTATATTATAATCCAGAAGCTGCTATTGATTAGCTTACTTATTGAAACCACTTTCAGAAGAACATCGCGACAAGATCTGTACACAACAAAGAATCCATTACTATCAGATGACTTTAAAATGTACATGTGTGGCCAAATCTTTGTCACACTGAAATTTGATATCGTACGCACAGTTGAATGCGCAATCAGTAATTAATGACACGGAACACAATAAACTTCAGTGTCCCTGTCACATCTTGACTCCAGATTATGATTGACAGCTCCTTGACCATCATATATTCTGCACATTACAAATGAAAACACGGTCTGAACAACCAATAAAATGACCAGTTACATAATGGACAGTATGTGTTGTTATTAAGCCTCTTCTTCAAAGAAGCCTTAAACCTAACATTGACACCCACAATAATGTCCAGGGATTAAAAAGAAACTTAATGGACTTTTGTTTATTCAGTACACAGCTTGGTGTCGCTTAAAAATTTGATTTAGTTATACTCTAACAAATTTGTTGGAGGTGACTGTCTTACTACAAATAAGTTTTCTTTATAGAAATCATAGGCTAAATTATTTCCAACCACTATATTGAAAGAACAAGAAAAATGGGCACATTAAGATATCATATTTATTATTATTTTTTCTATATAATATTTATATCTCATTCTGTCACTATATTGCATTCTGGTATGGATAAGTTCCTTCACCACAAAAATATCAATCAGTTAATTAACTATTTAAGATCATGTATTGATATATAGGATTACCAATAGCCTAATATTAATCCAGGTTTCCATGTGTCAGGGATTACAATTATAAAGTCAAGATGAAAGAAGCCGTCTAATATAATATCTTAACACCGTATAATATTGTGTGTTTGAAAGGTGTTAAAAATGAATAAAGATTATCATTGTCGCCGTTCTATGGTATTCCTGCATGTTGCATATTTATCAGAACATGACGGTTTTCACTTGACATCCAAAATACTTCCAATTATTCTTATATCCATCGAACAGTAATATTGTTCAGTTCAACATCTTATTTTCAACAATTCAACCTTCTTTGAAATATGTATAAAACACATTGTTTTCACCAATAGTTAAAGACGTATTCACGTTCACGAAAGGGATGTATGTAGTAAAAGGTGTTTCTACATTTTCAATACTGCTAATGTGATTCTCAATCGTCAATCCCTAAATCTTTCATAGATTCATTTTCTTTTTCGGTATAATCTTATCGGACGAAGTAATTTAGTCCAAAACATAGTACTGACAATTAAATATTATTTTGATACACACTGACTAAGATTCTCGCCCAAAGCATTATCACAGTATTTTATGTTACTTTTAACATTATTTGATATCCCGAGACCAAAATATTTTTCCACCCAGGCGTCCATCTGATTACAATTTGTTTACGTTTGAACACCCACTTGACTGTTGACATCAACATAGTTCATCTATCAAACCTTAAGGGACTTAAATCAGACGAAAACTGTAAAATAAAGGTGAATGAACAGTTTTTTAAATTGATGAACCCGGGTCAAACAACCATTTTCTGGTATTAAACAAGAATCTCACAATGTCACATATGATAAAACACTAATAAAGCCTGGTTGTCTAAGTAATTATGGGGTGTCGCTTAAAGTTTATCATTGAGGTTGAAGCATTTAGAGGACAAAAGTCAGGGCAGGGTCACCAGCCTCAAGTTGAATCTGTGAACCCTGTAATTTAATCCAGATTAAAAGATAAACAACCAAACGCTTACTGGGATGCAAGAGCAATTTTACCCAGTGATCTAGATCTGGCTTATGAATGAAGTTCCTGAAGTGCCAACTTTCTCAATATTTATGTCTTTAAAGTGATTTGTTTCTTCCACGAGAACCCCAGTACTCTGTCCATCATCCCAGCTGAGAATTATTTTCATACATTACTTAATCATTTATTACTCTCATCAACAGTATGCAGCTACATAATGCACTTGATCATAATCCGGAAGTATCGGGGCTAATCACTGTCTAGAGATGATAGATCATATTACATAACGGTAGATAAATCACAACCTGTAGCTTATATGGTGGTGATTTGCTGTAAGGTCGTTTGTCAGCTCACGAGCAAGGATATTCTAATCTTAAACATCCCGGATCATTATCCTGGATACATTAATATTAGAGACGTGTATAACGACACATCAAATTGTGTTGCAAACCAAGGGAATGTCCAAATCAGAAGAATGAGTTGAAGACATCATTTAAGATGCTGACATGAATATTTTTCCTCCAAGAAGAAGATAAAGAGTGATAATGTTGTGATCATCCAACCACGAGTCAAACACTAACGAAATCATTTTAGGTTCAGAATTTCGTTGACAATGACTTTCCTATTTTCAGACCAATACCTGGTCTACAAATCACCCAATATATTGTGTATACTGGATACTTTTTCTTGCAATTGAGCTTCAGTTCCAACATGCCTACTTTTATCCAAACCCAAATTTGCTATTTTAATAAAACAAATATTTAGGAAAAATGCTAAAAATGTTTATGTAAGTTATAATGACTTGAAAGACTTGATGTATGTGATACATGATGATAAATATAGTACTATAATATATACAATTTTTATAACATATACTCTTTTCACGACCTTGCTTTTTATACGAAATTATGGTATGGTATAAAATTGTAAATTTGATATCGACTCTCCTCTAACCTCGATGTGACAGATCTTGTAACCCTGACGCCCAGACACCTCATTAAAATTAAGCAATGAATGTACATGTGAAGTGTGAACTCAATTGTTCTTGGAAGTTTACCCGAAAGTAATATCACCATCATCATCATCTGAGTCAAATGATATAAATATATCATTATAATTTGTTAGGATAAAGAACAATTACCAGAAGAAGGTCATTGAATTTGGAAATGAAATGGAATTATGAGTTTGTTTATCTGATTAGAGATCAATACTCAAGAGTCAATACAAGAGTCAATCACGATGACACATAACTTCGTTTCTAAAAACTGGGACAGAGTTTCAATTATATTTCCACTTCGAAAGAGGGACGTAACGATGAAGTACATATTCTAGTATAGTATATCATACAGTAATATACGTGGTCAGTTTTTGTGTGTAAGTATAAAGACTTAACCAATGTTAAATAAAACGGAGGACCTTGAGACGGTGGCCAATATTGACTCAATGAAAGTTTTTATTGTCATTTAGAAGTAGAAGAATTTTGTTAACATCATATTAGACATCAAATAACACAGTTGATGACATTGTGACCATTCAAATTTCACTGTTTCAATATTGTCTGGTCTGTAACTGGACATTCGAACGTTCAGTAAAAAAAATGTAGAGGAGACGATTTGAAAATAATGAATGTCATGACATGAATTTTCGGTCTGATTACATCTTGTGACCTTCAACAAATGTATATCTTTTCCAATTTCTCCAGCAAAAAAGTACCTTTGATCGTTTTTATGTGCCACGTGCATTAACAGATAACAATCTACAGTATTCAACATATGGTATTAAATCCAGAAAGTATAATTCATGTAATTGTCATTATTTGATTTGAAAAAAAGTATCAAAAGACACTGAGCGTAAAATTGATATTCATGTTAAGAAAATAAAATTGTGTTCCTTTAGTTGACAAGTATGCTAATAACTGGCAAGAATTGAAACATTACCAAAGCTAGGGCAACTGTTGACGAGAACTGTTATTCATAATCATAATATTTAAACCAATCTAGCATAGTGACAATCATAATGATAAATGACTAACTGGGCCATTAACAGTCTATATCACAATATCTACTAACTTATTAGCTTATCAAATGATTGTATATAACAAATACGATTAATATTGTAATATTGTAATGGTACTTTTACAATAGTTTCAAAAATTGAGCACGTTTATTATGGCTAGGACTCTATGCATCAATTAAATAGTGATATCAAGTTACGATATTAAGTTATTTTTTGATCAATCAAATGTAATAGAAATAATATCATGACATTAAGAAACAACAGTTTTTATGGATATAGACTTCTATTTATTATTGAACACAACGTTTCATTACACATACAGGTAACGTTATCAAGTGATTATTAACCATACAGCTCAGAACATTATATATACCAGCTAAAATAATATCATGACAATCAATAAACTAAAGATAATAAAATATTTGTTTATTATTGATGATAGGTAGACTTTAATATCAACTTATTAAACATATGTCTGAGAAACTTTATCATAACTTATACCTATTAGACTAATATATAATTTGCAACCCATATGTTATACGACACAATCAATAAATGCTTGAGTGAATACAATTACTTTGATATGTTATTGGCATATATGTTCACATAGATTTGAATATTATTTATCTTGAGGCTACCATATTTCCTAAATTCTATATTTTTTTCTAAATCAAATTTTATTTGAATGCGTCATGTAGTTTGTGCGTTTTGAATTACACTAAAACCATATCAAGTCTCCCTTTGATTTTGCAGTTGTTTTATCAGGTTTCACATATTTTTCCTAACTTTAAACAGGCTCGAGACAGGGGGTAATCTTATCCCCTTACTGTTTATGTATAAATTAAGATGTTACGGTCGATACTTATCATGACACGTGACCTAGATATCCACCTGCCGCCTAATTCAGGTATATTTTTATCTATTTAAAACTAATTCAAAATTTACCAGATCACATCCAACAAAGTATTTTGAATATTTTAACCAATACCACGGTGTTCACTGCTTGATACAACATAGAGAGGAAATTGTCCATAAAAGGTAAAAATACGTCATGGCGGCCATTTTTAAACTGATAATAGAAGTCTCACCTGGATGAGGAAAATGATACTCAGTAAATAGTCTTACCTGTAGCACATATACGATGGCATAGGATAAAATCGCTGTTCTCCGTATCCTTCATCACTATTACTCTCTATAGTGGAAGTATTTTCCCTTGGACTATTCATATTGATTAATTTATCCTATACACTCTGTCAAGATGTCATCGTTGTACACTGACAAACCGTGGCTTGTTGTATACTACAGTCCACGATACCCGAGTGATAACGGTTTATACAGGTATGCTGTACGCTTACTCATCCATAACATACATCACTATCTCCCTGTCCCTCGCTGTCCTTTCATGTCACACAGTCGGGGCAAACTTTTGAAAGATCATTACACAACTGTTAATGTGACATATCAAACAAATGAAACTATGGCAGGTGAATTTGATACGACATATTTATGCAATATTGTATTATTGAAATTATATGCAATTAAGTCTAATCCATAGATTGAATGTTATAACCGATAAATTTGATATTCGTGGCGAATCATAGGATTTGGACTTCAGGATTTTCCTAAATTTTGAACATCAAGAACTCGAATAGGTAACAGCCCAACAAAAAACATAATCTTGGATGTGACTAGATTCTGTGCGGTGCAGGTGAAATAAATTCCTCGCAAATGAAATGAAATCTTACAGAGATTGCTCATGAAGTCATCTTTTGCACTAGATGCACTTGGAACACTGTTGGAATCAAGACTCATCGTGATGAATAGTCCATGCCACCCGAACCACTACAGAAATTATCATAAATGAATGAATAAATATCCACAATATTGAGTTCTTGAAGACTTAGAACACTATGTTATAAGTACCAAGATTCTAGATTTAGCTCACGGACTTAATTAATGATATACTGATATAATCACTGCAAGCTAAAAAGGTGGATTACACAATAAAGATAGTTGAAATTGAAAAGTGACAGCTGACCACTAATAAGCGAGTCCACGTTGAAACCTAAAATGACCACAATTATAGACAATCACAGAGAGGTGGGGCACATCCAAAATTTGTGTTTATTTGAGGATTTCTACGTTTGGCAGTTAGCCATGACAAACTCCACTCAAATGTATGGGAAAATTGTCAAATAAATGTAGAGAGGTGTTTCATTCAATTAATTCTAGATATTTCATCGAGGCGTTACTTTTATACGTCACACTATTCTACGTAAATTGAACTAGAACAATCATCTACGAAGAGATAAAAACCTAAATTAACCGATAACTTGAAAGCAAACGAAATGTAATATGCTGAAAGTATGGGAAGTGGATTGGCCTATACCAGATATTATAACGTCAGAATGGAAAATGGGAGATGAAAATTCGAACCACAAGTTTCGAATATAAGGTGCTGAGATAGTTAGACAGAATATTGGACACATGGAATCAGAAAAAAAATGTTACACATGGGAATGGATCGATGAACCGGAAGGCTAGATGATAGATGGTGGTTGAAATGGAAAGTTGACGGAAAGATAGACTGAAAGAGAAATAAGCTGAGAAAATGAGCCGGGAGGAAATATCGGAAAATGAACTGAAAGGATTTATCCGACGCTCTACGTGACGTACTTGTTATTTGTGGTCTGAAACCTAGCTTAATCATGTTAATAGTTATCTCCACTCAGTACTCTTCTGTTGAAGAAGAGCAGAAAATGTATATTTTTTTCTCACAGCAATGGAAATCTCAAATTCATAACTTAAAAAACTTAAAAAGCCTCCCATGACATGTAATGATGAACCGGGAGGGATATTAAGGGGTAGATGAACTGGAAGGAAATGATGGGTAAACTGGAAGGAAATATTTGGTAATGAACTGGTAGAATGTAATGGGTAGATGAACTGGGATGTATAACTGGGAGGAATTAAGGGGTAGATGAACTGAAAGAAAATATTGTATATCCTAAATGATGAAAGTATCTGAGCAAATCAGCAAAGACTGAATAAATTCATATGTAAATAAACAGTAATAAAGATATATAACTGGAAATTAATTAAGTCAATGAAATTTAAAAAGAATCAATAGAACTGAAGAAAAAATTAAGACAATTCAAATGGTCAGAAAGGAAAATGAGATCAAATGAAAAAACACACAAAAAAGTTGAATAAATGTCATTTACGATCAACAAATAGAGGAACAAAATAAAACATCAACCAAGCAACAGAAAAAAATGAACAGAAAACAATGAACAGAATGAAAATCAAGAAAACACAGGAAAGGATGAACAAACTGGAATTTAAATTAAACTGAACAAAGGAAATGAACAAGTTGTTCTCCCATTACAAAGGATAGGATTAAACAATGAAAAAAACAAACTGAACAAAACAACTGAACAGGATTGCTTTTCTTGATACAAAGGGAAGGTTAAAAACAAAATTGAAAAGTGAACTAAAATAAACGAATAAACAAGTTGTTCTCCCTGAAACCAATTCAACAGTAAATTTTAACATACCGTAACAGATATCTAATAATGATAAACGTGATATTTACTATCTTGGTTGATAATATATTGAGCAGTTTCAATTTCATTATATCAAGAATTCCTTAAAAGCTACAGATAAAATCATAAACTTCAGAAAAACTTCACAGAGCTGTTACAGTTGCATTCAAAACCAATTTATTTGGTCATCAGAGTTGTACATGTGCTACTGCATATTGCCTTTTCTAAGCACATAAACTGGAGTGAGAAGGTATCATATCAAGAGATCAATAGATTTGCAAATTATTGTGTGGTCTCTACAATGGAGTATCAAGAAATATCAGGCTTACCTTTTACTGACAACAGATCTGACTGCATTCCATTTGTTTTTCAGTTGATCTAACATATCTTGTAGTATTTCTCTCTCAGGATCATTTTTGGTACATCTATCTTTAAGATTCCTTCCAAGTCGCGTTGTGGAGTAAAATGTTGGGTGTCTTACTGAGATTTGGTGTTCAAATTTCTGAAAAAGAAGAGAAAAAGGACATAGTATACAATGAAGCATTAAAGAAGTTTCAAAAACCTGTGCTGTTTATTTATGTCATGCCAGAAAAGAAGCTATTAGTATTTAAAAGGAATATGTAAGATCTTATCAAATAACATCTTTTCATAATTAAGTAAGGTAAGGTGCTTATGACTATTTAGTGTAAGTAACTGAATTATTGAACTTAACATCCTCAAGATTGAAACAATGTAAAGAAGTTCATGTCCTTAATGTTATTTGCTATACAAAATGTTAAAACTCAATTTTCAGTCTTACACTTTAAAGATTGTTCAAAAGTTTTCATTCCAGAAAGTAATATAGATCAGAGAGATAAAATTGTAAATTTTTTTAAGAGCACCATATCTCTTTCACATTTCAGTGTTCAGACAAATTCTGTGTTAGCTCCTATAATTAATAACTTTACAGTTAGTAGGTGTTATCACTTACAACACCTCACATATCTTTACAAACCATTCTAGTTATAAATTAAATAATAATAATAATTCTATTGATTTATATTTTATCCTAATGAGAATGCTATTCAATTTCCATACACAAACTGTGAATCGTCACTTTCCTTTGCTACAGCAAACAGAAAATGTATGAATACTGCAATGTTTTTGGAATTAAGCAACATATTTGTTCAATTGTTCTGATTTTGATGCATATGTTGGTTGGTATGTCAAAGTAGGATAGGGCTCCCTAGAAATTCTTAAACTATGTAACCTTTCAAATACTGAAGGAAATTCAAATTATTCAGGCTTACGTCATCTCTATAGCCTACTTAAAATCAAACCTAAACAATATTTTGAATGAACATGAACAAACCCAGTCAACAAAGGGTGTTTGTGAGTAGGTATGTATAAGCTTCAATGATTTTCTAAAAAATCTACTCATATGATTATAAATGTTCTACACTTGTCAAAAAGGTCAAATATTTGAAAATGTTGATATAAAGATGTATAATAATAGAATGAAATATATGTCAATATATACATTAATGAGTTCTTCAAAACAATAGTTATTTTGTACATCTACCATTTTAACATAAATTCTATATAGTTTAGATACAAAAAGAAATTAACTAAAATCCCATTACATTTTTTATATTATATATCAGTATTGATTCTAGTATCATATAATATTATATGGACCAATATGCCAAATAAACAATACTTAGCAATGTGAACTCTCCCAAAGGAAGGCCAAGTTCTCAAACCCAATCGCAGAGTGATAATTGGTTATCAGGAAGGTTGAGGATGCCTCATCTCCCTATTAATACTCACAATAGTGTTTTTTTAAGTAGAGCTCATATTCAGTAAAGTAAAAGCTATGCCAACAGTTATTTACAGATCTATTTTTATCATTATTCTTAGTACATCACTGGTTTACGACTATTTATATGATTAAAAATAAGACTGTTCAATATATCTATTTCAATATAAACATTTTCTTACAAAGGATTTTTATTTCCTTTTCATTTTATCACAGTTTCCCTTTATATTCTTTAAGATAAATTTCCTAGATACCTAGCTTGTGTCAAGGTTAAATAGACACACCCTTCAGAATGTATTTAATATAAAACTTGAAGAAATTCAAAGGTATTTGTGTGAAAGCTGTTTATCTTGTTAGTTGTTTTTATAAAGTAAATTAAAAGCATATCATATTTTTGATAACATATTTTATGTAATTAAACACACCAGCTGTAGTGTAACAATGTATTTTATTTATTAGAAAGATTTGTCCCCAACAAAAACAATATGAAGCAGATAAAATATGTACTTAATACAGAGAACATTGGTCTCTGAAACTTTTGGAACTCCAATTTAAATAGCTCTCAAGAGTTATGTCACCCCTTTTTAGAATAACATCTGAAGACCAGTTTATTTGCCATAAACAAATTAATGTTCTCACACACAGATATTGTCCTTTTTAAAGATAAATGCAAGGGGTAAGGTAAGAGATAAGAAATTTAGCTTACTTTGAGTTCTTCCATTTCTTGTTTCATGACCTTATCTGCTTTACCTCCAGACATAAATTTACTTAATTTAGTTGCACTAGTATCTAACCAATCACACAAGTCCTTCCAGGCATCATGGAACTGGAAAGAAAAAACAATATATGACATGCATGGTATTGAGGTTAAGGTGAAAGGGTGAGGGGGTAATGACAGCTTCCATAAAACTTTATTTTCAAATCCATGCTTTCAATACACAATTATTTTTACTTTACATTGAGAATTTAGTATAAAGAAATATCAAAACTTAACCTACTCGTTTGTCTTCTTTATAAGCTTGTTGTAGTAATCTTCCACGTTCATCAGCTCTACGCAATAATTTCTTCCACCGCAATCGGATACCAACTAACAAATTCTTGATATAAATAGTATCTTGTTTACGTCCAAAATATTTCAGATATGTTCCGGATTTATCCAAAGTTGACATAAGCTCTGCTTGTGCCTCCAAATCAGCCTTGAGGTTCTGAAATTTAAAAATGTCTGGTCATTATAACTGACTATCTGTACTAACATGTACTTACATTATGTTTCTGTCCTAGTTTGTACTTATATTTTGGTCATCTGACCTAGTCTGTACTTGCAATATGAATGTTTACCTTAGTTCAACATACATTATAATCGTCTATATGTCTTCGTTTGTACTTACATTATGATTGTCTATCTGTCCTGTAACAACATCTACCAATTTACTGGGGTATTTCATTCCTCTCATCATGACTTCAGCATTATTCAACCAATCAGTAAAGGCTTTCAGAGTGTCATGGAATTCAGTCACATTCTTTCCATGTTCTTCCATTTTTTCCTGCAAGTGGATGTAAACAGTTTTTAAAATAATAACTTTTAACATACTGGTAGGCAAATCACTTTCAAAATAAGAAATGTAGTAGACTTCATTATCAGTTGTATTAACTTCTGACAGGCAAATGAAAGACTTTGAACAAGGCTTTTAAATTTTGAAGACATGGTTTAAATTATCTAGAATTGAAAATAGAGGTTTTTACCTTTCGTTTTCTGGCTCTGTCTCTAGTTTCATTCCATCTTTCTCTTAATTTTTTAATTTTTTCCGAGATTTGACTGGTATCCTGTTCTGGACTAGTATCAATTATTTCTTGACCTTGTTGTAATAAACCTTGAACAGTTTTCTCTCGCTTATCCATTTCTTCACACTTTTTCTAAAAAGAGAATAGAAACAAAATCACTTAGAGAAGGCATATCTGACATAAAAATAAATGAACCAATAATTTTTACAAATTTTGTGCTGATTGATGCAAGAGTAAGTTTCTTGTCATCTTTGGATCCCAATTTCAAATAATACTTTTCCATGACCGATTATAATCATAGATATTTGGACGTAACAAGTTAAAACAGAGGAAAAAATGCTTACCAAGAACTGATCATATTGTGTCTCTGAAGATTCTGGTAAGGCACCAAATGGTTGGTTCAATTTCAATTCCATCCTAAATTCATTGACCCATTGTAGTGTATCATCAACATCTCCTAGGTAACGCTTTACCTGGAATTCAAATAAATTTATTAGTCACACACAATTGCTTGATAATATCTTGTACATGTTACTTACTCATGCTCAACAAAGGATGACAGAAGGATATTGATAATTTTTTTAGCTAATTTTTTAGACTGTTCTGTTCAGGTACAGCAAACTGCCTCTGTCGAAAATCAAGTAGAGGTTGGAAATCAAAATTCATTTCACAATCAAATAACTGTTCCTACCTGTCTCAAATTTTCTTGTAGTTTATTTTCTTTATCTCGAGCATTGGCGTGAACAGCTCTTATCCTTTCATTCATTTGATTACGTTTTTTCTTAAGAGCGGAATCATCTTCATTAGATCTAGCTAGTATATCATCTACAGCTTTATTAATCTTTCTACAGGTCTTCTCTTGGTTGTTGATATCACCTTGATGAAGCTGGAAAACAATAGCCAATTTTTTTTTTTGACTTGTAAAACTTACTGCAGTTCATCTAGACAGAAACTTCTCAGAACAGATATAAAATCCTCATCAAGACAGCTTATTTGAAGATTTCAATTTTCTTATTTTGAAATATCTTAATAACATTAAAACTCATTAAACTGGGTTATAAGCATATTATAAATTTACCTGTAATTTTCGTAATTTGGTTTCTAGGCATTTAGGATCACCATTAAGACTTTCAATATTATCTAGATCTTTCTGGACATTGTTTACTGCACTAACAACATCATCCATAGCATGATCTAATTTGCCAACTTTTACCTGCATATCATTGAGAGATCCCTACAAAATAATACACAACATTAGCTTTATACCTTGATCATCCCCATATAGTTAAACTTACGAAAAACAAGTTGAGAAAAACATGAACAAACAGCTATCTTGGATCATGACAAATTCAAATGAGGAAGAAAGAGTGAACATACCATATATAAATGAAAATCATGCTTGAACAAAATAATATACAGAATTTCATTTAATAAAACATGTGTACCTCTCTATCTGCTATGCCATGGATCAAATCATTCCATTTTTCATTAACAATCTCAACAGGTTTAAAAAGTGCTTCAGCAGCAACAGGTGACATATCTTTCAGTGCTGCCACCTGTTGGTTTAACTGCTGCATATCAGTGATGTGAGGATGGATATTAGATTTAAATAACTGAAAGAAACAATTAAATGTGAAGAAATGAATACACAGAGAAAAAGTGAAACTCAAGTATATACTTGAAGAAGTTTGGTATTCCAGAAACAACATGCAACAGGAAATTCTTTTGCTTTAAAATTAACAATTTAGTTGGTTTTAAAAAACAATATTGACCAATCAATGAATCTGCTTCATGTAATCAAGAGTATTTTAAATTATATTTCTGGCAACAAATATCTGATAGAAATTCAGCAGTGAATGAGGAACTGAATATCATATCTACATGATTTTTGTTTCAGCTAACAAACTGGTACAGCACAGCTAAATTTATTCCAACAAACTAGCACAGCATGTACAATCTAGACACACCATGCACAATCCAGACATCACATGTACAATGTCGAAACCCTATGTACAATCCAGACACACCATGTACAATCCAGACACACTGTAAAATCCAGACACACTATGTTCAATCCAGACACAACATGTACAATCAAGACATATGTACAATCTCGGCACACCATAAATAATCTTGATATCCCACGTACAGACCAATCAATATCATGTCCCGCTGCAAGTTGAGTGATCTTGTGGCAGTTCTTCTTTTAGGAAGGGTGAAATGGTTTTTAATAGAAAACATACCTTGAGTTCTTCCATCTGATCAGCTAGTACATTAGGATCACTAGATGGTGGTCTCATACCTGCAAGTTTATGTTCTGAGAGTGGTAACCAGGAATTAATAGCCTGAAAGAATCATTTTAAAGAATAATGAAGTTGATAAGGGTAAAAAGCTATTTCTAAGAGAGAGATGTTTTGTTCACATCTATACAATAAGTAATGAATAAGGCTACATTAACGTACTTTTGGTATGAAATTCTTCATTTAATTCAGGTGACATTTTTAGATGTCTTAGCTTGTCTCGAAAACTTACAATAATTGAAATTTTAATGTTAAGATAAAAGCATGAGGTCTTATTTTAGTATTAAATAGGGACTACAATAATTATGTTTTGTATGTAGCATTCTTTAGATTATGTTAAGGAGTTCATTTATATGTGAGAAACATAAAAACTGAACAAAACAAAATTTAAGTTACACAGCAAATTAGGAAGAAGACTATTATTGATTTGAAACCAAATAAAAAACCAGATATAAAATGAAAAAAAAAAACATTTTTGAAATCACTTAATATAAAATGGTTTGCCATATCATTAAAAAATAAATATTATTTACAAAAAAGACAAAAGAGGAAAATAAAGAATAAAAAAGAATTAGCTGTAAGAACTTAGATAATATAAAGCTTAAAAAAAAACAAAATAAATATTTGAAAATTTTGAAAATATCTTACTTCTTTCTTCTGTAAACAGTAAAATAAAAGTAACAAGTTATTATCTCATCACAGACATAACAATTGCAATTACATCCATAATATATCTTTGCAATGTTTGCAACACAAGATAAGCCTATGCAAAATTCTCTATACAGTAAGAGATTAGACTCTTACTGACCTATCTCAACCAGTATCCTTATTATTTTAAAGAGCTATTGACTAAATCAATACAATCAATACAAGATTAAGGATATTATTCTAACCCAGTTTCATCCATCACCCAATATATAGGGAATATGCATTATCTTGGGTAATGAGATCAAACTCCCCTGTATGTGTTAGGGACACTTGTAGCTTTGTTAGATTTTAACTTTCAATCTGGTTTCTAGAATTCCAGAATATATAACTTATCCCACTACAACAAAAACCAAAACCTGAACCTTGTTTAAATTGATATATGTAGTAATGAAATCATTTTCTAAAATTTAAACACATTTTACTGATACTATAATTATCCCTGATACTATAATTATCCCTGATACACATACAAAAGACCAAATTCTGTTCATAATGTAGAATTAAATATGTGAAAGCAATGTGGGTTGTACTAAGAACTAAATATCTATGGTGCAGCTGTGTAGTTGATTCCTCTATATAAATAAAGTCACTGTCCTTTAGTCAACCATTTTTTTTTTTAATTGAATTTCTTATTAGCCACAATATATTCCCTTTTTTATACTACACTACATTATTATTTTGATATTTGATAACAATAGTTGACTTAAGGCTCATGACTTACTAAAAGAGGGATGGAAAACCATGACCAAAGCATTGAAAAAACATTAAACTGGATATAGCATAGTAAAACATTCCTTGATCTAATAGAGGAAAATCTAAAAGTAAATTTGAAAAAGCCAACAAGTTATATCCAGCCTAAGTGAATCTTTACCATCACCCTCTTAAACAGAACAAATTCATTACCTCAAGCAGTTCCTCATATTTCTGGGCATGTTCCAAAGCCTTGTTTAGTTCCTCACGTCTGTCTTTTACCAAATCTGCCACATCATCAGCCGAGTTGACCAAGTCTTCAATCTGTTTTTTCACCTCAATTTTTCCTGGTTCTCCACAAATATCACATAAATCATCTCCAATACGACGACAATCTAACATCAATTCTCTAGCTTTGTCCAACTCATTCATTAGACCCTAAAAATACAGTATAAGAAGTGTGTAATTTGTTTTTAAGTAAAGTAAAGCATTAAATAGAGCAGAGCTACTGAATAGAAATCAGGATACTGGCAAGCAGCCTTGAGCAAAATCATCAGCTATTTTAACAATCTTATGATAATGATAGTTCTAGGGTATTATAGCTAGCAACATTTTGGCCAGAAACAAAAGCTTTTGATTAAGACAGAACCAGAATCAGCACTTTCTCTAGCAAAAAAAAGCATAAGATGAGCTCTTTTCAATTATGCCATGATTCTAAACAAAAAGTCATTACCTCTAGTTCAGATTGTTGCTCTTTAACTGTCGGTGGATCAACACCAGGTGGTTCTTGTGAATACATATTGTCTTTAAGATCACGTAGACTAGCCATCACATCATGGGAAATATCAAATAGTTTATCTGATAGAGCTAGAGCATTGATTAGTTGTCCTTCTCGCTGTTTAGCACCAGTCTGTATCTGGCTTCCTAGTTTACCAATCTCACTCACTTTACTCTGAATATCTTCAACTACATAATAAAAATAATACTTGTATATTAACACGTTTATATTAAATAAGTCCTGATGGCACTGAAATTGAGGTGCTTGCAGGTTTGGAGGTAGGTTTAGGAATTAATGGAGAAAACATGCTTTATAAATACACCTGTCAGTGATGCATCTCAGAGAAGACCTGTTCAGGTCCCAATATATTTATAGCTATAAAAGAATTAGTAGTAGTCCCACTGGAAGAACTTTAACATCCTACTATTCCTGGTCCTGGTCAGAGTTACGGAGATGCACTGAACAATCAGAAGAAATTTGCTTGGACAGCTATCTCCTTAATGAAAGATTACTTAAACAATTCCAAATAATAATCGATTAATAAATACATAAATCTTAATACAACTGATAACTTACTTTCGACTGGATCTTCAATTCCATGAGCAGCAACATTTTTACTGATTTCTTTAGCTTTTTCAATATCAGGTTTTTGTCTTTCTAGATCCTCTAAAACAGCTTTCATTTCATCTATCTCATTCCGAAGTTTTTCTGGTGCAGCTGGTATAGGATCTGAATTTACGACTGTAGCATTCAGCTGAGCTAAATCTTCTACTAGGTGATCTAGTGAATCCGAAACCTAGAAATTTCACATACAAAAAAATAAGTGGTAAGCATTTATTTAGGTCATAAGGATTTTAGTGTGGAATTGGGTATTGAAAAAGTAGTATTGATATGGTACCCTAATAATATTTCAAAATTTCTATTTAGATGAACGAATATTGGTATTGTTTAAGACCTACCTCTTGTGTGAATTTTTTCTTAGCATCAGTAAGTTGTCTAGCTTTATGTCTAGCCTGGTTTTTAAGTTCTTCATATTTCTGGTTGCTGTCTATCAGTTTGGTTTGTATATCATTACCATCATCATCACCACATAGTTCCATCAACTCCAAACCAGTAGCATTCAGATCATCAATAAATGGTTTATGATCATTAATGATCTGTTGGGTTCCCTGAAAAATATGGTATGCCTTGATCAAGACCAAAAACCAAACAACGAATATGGTTTAAAACAGAATCAAACAACAGAAAATACTTAAACACATAGTGTTCTTTGTCTTTTAAAGGTACTGAATTTTTCTATTCAACTGCATATATGGAACTAATAGATATTGAAGAGATATTAAATAAGATGTACCTTCAGATGATCATACTGTTTTCTGATTTGTTCCAGACTATCTCCTGGTTTGCCTTGAGCTTTTAATTCTGCTTCCATTTCATCTAACCAAGCTGTTACTTCAGCCTGACTGTCACTATAATATACAACAATATTGTTTGGAGATTTGAAGAGAAGAGTGTCATATCCAAGGTTTTTAGTTTTCACCCTGACCCTCACTCAGTTCTGCCAATCTTGACAGGGACTGGATGGTTTACCAATCTTGCATTCAGTTAAAAGAGTACATATGAATATTCTATCACATTGAATCATTGCTCATCCAATAATTTTTTTCCTATGAAATGTGGATTGTAAATTCCATAATCATCAGAATAAGACAATATAGTTATGTAATATCTTTTAGAAATTGTATATAGAGAAGCTAATGGAATTGACATGTTTGAAAAGCCATATAGACACACTTACCTATAATGTGAGGCTAATGGAAGAGCTGATTCTAGTTGATGTAAACGTTCGGAACTAAGTTGACAGACTATATCAGCTTGTGTTCGTATACTATCTAGACGACTCTTGATCTCATCAGTTTGAGAATTGGTTGTTTCTCGTAACATCTTATTGCATTTATTTATTATATCTTTTACAGCGTTTTTCTTTTGAATCAAATCCTCATTAAAGGCCTAAACAATAGAGCATATTCAATAACATTAAAACTCAGGACATTTTTCTACTCTGCAAAAGATAATTAACTGCACACAAATAACTTTTCTGTTGATTTTCAAGAAGCTGATATTGTACCTGTTCACTGTCGGTTATACTTCACTGATTTGTCCAATGTTGTACTATAGTCAGTTTATGGAAATATCTTCTCAATAGCACTTATAATGGGCAGATAAATCAGTTTTCTCCTTGAGATTGACTAAAATCAAAATAAGACGAAAAAAAACTTACTGTATGATCTCTGAGCTGTACTTCCAATGTTTCTGGGTCAACACTAATGGGTTCAGCTGTATTGATCTCATTTTCAGCTTTATCCAAATATTTCAACATTCCATCAATCTTTGATAGTGCCTGGAGTAGACATCCAATTAAAGTTAAGCATATTTCATGGTGAAACCAATCCAAATATCTAAATGTTTATTAATTTGGCACCAGACCTAATTAACTTTCTGAGTCTGTGTCTAGCAAACTTCCATATCGATAAAGACAACTATCAGTTATAGTATAGACATTCAGAGCCAACAACACAAGAAGATGTGATATTATTGCATAGTTTTGCTCATCCATTCTCTCTCGACAAGATAAAAAAAAGTCCATTATATTTTCAAGGGTATAAAACTTAAAACAATCATAATCACTCAATCAAAATAAATGTATGAACCGGACTCTGATCCAACTACAGTACAAAGTAACAAAATAAATATCAATATTTTAGATCAATAAGAATCAATATTGTTACGGATAGCAAAAAATCAGAAAACATAGACATATTATACTCAAGCAGAGATATTTTTGCACTCTAGTTAATGTCAAAACATAAACAAAATCAGTCCATTTAGAGGGATTAAAAACTTATTTAAAGGGTTTGACAAATCCCTCAACAGAATTCTGAGAATATTTACATTATACAAAAATAAAATTTACAGATTTCTACTCCATGGAGCGATAATGTTCACATCTTTAAGATTCAAACATCAACTTCTGATAGATTTTTGATTAAGGTGAGGGTCAGGTATTCTTCAATTGATCAAATAGAATATTTTAACTTACCTCCAGAGATACTTGTTGTACCAAAAATTCTGTCAAATCATTCCATTTAGTTTCTACATCTCCCAGAGTTTCCTTAACAGCATAATGATCACAGACTCTGTCGTCATTCATCAAGTCATCACATGCTTTCCTCAGAGAATCAATATCTCCTTCTCGCTGTTTCTTCTCTTCATACAGAGCTTCAATCTGTCCTTTGGAAATATTGTTGGAGCCTTTAGATGGTTTGGATTTCAAGGTTTGTATGGATTCATTTAACCATGAATCAACTTCAGAAAGTTTATTGTCGAAATCGTTGATTCCTGCAGAAATATCTTCCAGTTCTTGAGTTCTAGTGTCCGCTAGTCGTTCTAGATTATCAAGTCTGTTAGCAACATCTGATAGTTTGGCATTAGCACCTGGTACATCGTGAGATTCCTGCGACAATCTATCCACTAGAGCCTTGTTACTGTTGATATCGCCATTCATTATTCTTTGGTCTTGGATCTGTTGTGCCAGTTTTTCTTTATTCAGACTGGCAGGATGTTTGGCTTTAAGAAGTTTTTCAGCCGACTCAACAGTTTCTACAATACCATCTATTCTTCCCATTACATTCTGTTGTTCTGCTACAGCAGCATCTAACTTCTGCTCTTTTTTAGTTATTCCATTTAGAAGACCATCATGTTTGGCCTGAAAATGGAAATAAAACAGTGAAGTTAGAAGTATAAGTATAAAAGAGTACATGTTACACTAACACAATTTTTTTTTTGCAGACTGTTGTGTCCATGACCTGTTAAGTACAAGTATAGCTTCAAAGGTTTTTATTTAGATTGCAGTCTTAAAAGAAAAATATTTTTATAAATTCTAACACATTCAGGATATTGTTAGAAATAATATCAAGCCAGGGTAAAACATTTCTATTAACTTACCTTATGGTCATCAACAATGCTTTTAATATTAGCTGCTTCTTTCTTTAATCCAGCTTCTACTAAACCATTAGTCAACCTTTCTCCTGCTAGAGTTAAATCTTTCAGTTTTCTCTCTTGTCCCAGTACATCAGATTTCAATTGTTTCAAATCTTTAAGATCTTTAGTATCTTTGACTGGGTTCTTACCAAAGTCTTTATCATTGATATTACCAAGCTGGTCATTTAATGAAGGGTATAGAGATGTCAATCTATCATCGAGGTCATCAAATGTACGTTTATTTTTCATTATGGATGACAATCTATCCATGTGTTTGTTACATTCTCTAGAAACGTCTTTGTATTTAGCTTCAATAGATTCTATTTCATCATCCAAAATACCAGTTTCTACTTCTTCATTTATTGTTGGCATAAACTGAAGAGACTTTCTATAGGCTTCTAACTCTCTTTCAAAACTCTGAAAAAATATTGAGATCATTCTTACTGAAAATCATTTTTGTTTGCAAAATTTTACATTAAATTGGTGATGGATACTGCCATTATCTTGTAAACGATCCTCTTTTGAAAGGTGTTACATAAAACATCGACTAACATTATACAGAAGAGGATAGTACACTATACTACACTATTCTTGGGTATTTCCCAGTTGCCATAACCCAAAGATGAATTTGTTTTGGCACAGCTAATCATGAAGCTCAAGTTTTGGCACAGCTAATCATGAAGCTCAAGTTTTGGCACAGCTAATCATGAAGCTCAAAAAGCTAAGGACCAGCCTTTGAAAGACATTTCAAAGAAAACAGTAAAGATAAATTTAAACACACATTGCTAACATAAACAAACAAAAGCTAAGATACAAAATCCTTTATAAAAGTTCCACTCTCAAAAATTACAGTTACCTGGGCATTATCTCCAAAATTATCAGCTAATTTAGATGTTAAAGTTATATCTTCTTCTTTAGTCTTCACTTCTTCATAGAAATTCTGGAATATATGTTTACAGTGGAGCATACCATATCACTGAACGATGTTATCAAACTTGCAAGCCAAGCTAAAAATATTCTTCATATCTAAAGAAGTCTGAATAACGCACTAACAATTTCATAAGGTAGACAATTGGAATCCATTCAAGCAAAAGAAACCATGTAAATAAATAGTCAAATTCTTGTCATGCAAGATCTTAAAGTGATATAAAAGAACAAATAACCCTGTCAATTGTCTTACCTTAAATGCATTAAACTGATCTTCAATATTAGTATTAGAGGATTGTAGATCTTGAGTTGTTTCTATAGCTGTATCTAACCAATGATCTAATTTCTCCAGCTGACCATAAAAAGCTTCCAAATTCTCACACATATTATCCATCTTTTCACTTCGACTTTCAACCACTGTTGCTGCCTAAATAAATTTTCAATATAAAAAAATCATAATCATAAAAGTCTACAAGTCAATATTTTCATTAAACAAATGTTATGAAGCAGCTTTTGTCAGTCCATGCTTAAACATCATATGATCTTATCACTTCGTAATGAATGCTGTTGAATATTCCAAATTGTGACTGAGTTAACAATGGTTAAAAGAGCGATCTCCTTTTACCTAATACTGCACATTATAACTCCTCGAAGAATAATAGGCTTGTAAGTTGATCGAATTGTAATCTTGACAATGGTCATTTTTTACAAATAATACAAACTTACTGAATCAAGTCGAACTTTCAATTCTGAAGTATTGTATCGTAGTTTCTTGTATTGTTGAGCTCCATCAGACTCTTGTTTTCCCTTGTTATTTTCTATCAAATCTTCTGATTGCTTCACAGATTGACGCAGTTCCTGTTCTTTAGCTTTCAAGTTCTTCTTTATCATCTGTTTAGATAAAGAAATATATTAGAATTAATTGTCACAAAAACAGCTAGAAATAATGAAAAAACTATGTTTTGTCTGTTGTCTAATTCATTTGAGATTTTTTTTAAGTGTAAAAGAAAGGAAAATTACTTCCCAAGCTGAACTCAGTATTAGTAAGATTCAAACTCATGAGCATATTATACATTTACAAGTGCAACAAAAATAATCAAAAAAAAAACAGAAAGAAACATCCTCATACACAAGATAAAAAAATAAGTATAAAACGATCCTTTTATGAGATTTCTTATCTGTAACCATTTACAGCCAAGTTCAACAGGAATAAAAAAAAAGTATGACATTTAAATAAACTAACCTTGGTGCCTGCTGTTTGTTGTTTTAATCTAGTCAGTCTCTCACTGGGTCGGGCTTGACCACCTAGGAGCTTCTCAACCTCTGCTAACCAATCTGAATTCTCCTTGATATCCACTAGTGACTTGACAATATCTTCATCTGACATAAGGATGACCTTACCAGTGTCTGGATCAAGTTTGACCTTTGAACTCATTGTCAAGAGTCCATCAGCTAGACCATCACGTAAAGACATCTCCATACCATTGGGAGCCACAAATTTAGTTGAACGAGGATTGACTTTGCCTGAATCAATAAGGTCCTTAAGTGTTGTGGTCACATCTACAAATCTTTCAGGATCTACCACTGGGTTGATCAGACCTTCTGCAATAGCTTGCTCAATGGTCATAGATTTACCACTTCTGTCACTAGTAACCTTACCAGTTTTTGGATTGAATTTACCACGATCCATAAAGGCTCCTAAACTTGTCACATTCTTGGTTTCATTGTCAACAAAATAGACATAATTTGGATTCCATGTTCCCTTTTCTCTTGCTGCATCAATAGCCATAGCTTCCCCTGTCTGAGGGTCAACATATTTTCCTCTCTTTCCATCCAAAGTTTTTGATTTCAAAGCATCCTCAAGAGAAAGTTTCTGAAAAGCCATATACAATGCCATACCACATTCAGGTTCAATCTTCTCCTTCTTGATTGCTGTTTGTAGGGTGTTCTGATCAGCTTCACTCTCATCTACATAAGCCACCATTGGAATATTAAGCAGTCCAGAAGCTACAGCTTCCTCAATAGAAAGAAGTTCTTTAGATGATGGGATTTTGATTCCCTTCAGCTTCGTGTCCATAACACCTCTGAGCACGGATAGAGTCTCAGCATGTTCCGCTACATCAGATGGGTTTATGTGAGCCAGAATCTGACTTGATCCAATGGCTTCACTGACAGATATCTCTTCTCCAGTAGCAGATTTAATGAATTTTCCAGTGGCCAGATTGCAACGCCCTGTTTCAATAGCTGTTCCTAAGCTCATGATTCTCTGAGTGGGAACATCATAGAAGAAAGTAGTATCAGGGTCAATGATGTTCTGTGAAACTGCTGCTTGCAATGACAGTGTGTGGCCTGTTGCAGTGTCAACAACAAGACCAGTGTCAGGATCAAATTTACCACTATCAATCAACTGTCCAACACTAGCTTCCTGGTATGTTTTCAGTATCTGCCTCAGGACAGAAGGTTCAATCAAACCTCTTGCAGTTGCTTCTTCAAGAGGAAGAATCTCACCATCTAGAGTATCAAATTCAGCTTTGGCAAAATTAATAATTCCTTTTTCAAAAGCATCTTCAATTGTCATTTCTTCTTTGGTTATAGGATGTTTGATACACTTTTTCTTTGCATCAACCTGCTCCTTTACTTTGGAGAACAAGACTTCATTGGGATCTTTGTGTTTGATGACACCATCTACAGCATCTTTACTACTGACTTGGATATCAACTCCTTGAGGAACAAACTTTTGTTTCCTGATCTGAAGCTGTTGATATGTCAATGTATTCTCATCTTCTTTGTCTTTACTCGGATCGAACTTACATCCTTTTATTAAGCCAAGTCTGAAAGCTTCAGCAATGGACATAGACTCTCCTGTCAGTGGATTACAATATAATCCATTTTCAACATCAATGATACCATCTTGTATGGCCTTTTTGAGTGAGATTTCTTCTCCAGTGTTGGGATCTAAAACAGCTGAGACCTGGTATTTCAGCTCTATCATGTTAACTGAAGTATACACTCCATTTTCATCTTCATCAGCAAAGAAAGAAGAATCAGCAATGATGTATCCTGCTTTGATGGCATCCAAGAGTGACATCTCTTCTCCTGTGATAGGATTCCGGAAAATTCCACGTTTAAGATCCAGTAATCCAGTAGCTATAGCCTCCTTTACACTAACCAACTCTCCAGTCCTTGGATCTATCACTCCTGTAATTCCGAATATCTTACAATCCAGTTGATTCTGAAGGTCAAAGCCATCTGAACTTCCTTTCACCATATTAGGATCACGGAATTCAATCAGGATGTAACCTTTACTGATGGCTTCTGGAATAGTAATGGAGTAATCTGTATCAGGATTGTTATAGGTGCCATTGACCTGATCTAAGACACCATTGGATATGGCCTGGAAGACAGAGAGTTTGTCCTTGTTTCGAGGATCTATCACTCCTACTATAACAAAAGTCTGGCTTTCTTCTGAGTATTCTGTTGATTCTGTGAAGAGTTCCTCTGTTTTTATGTCTTGTTTATTTGCCCTCTTACGTCTGGGTGGTGGTACAGGACGCTTTCCTTTATGGCGTTCATGAATATAAAGCTGGGAGCGAACTTTGGTAATTTGTGTTTGTTTAGAAGACATGTCAATATCTACCATTGGTAAATATCTGTAGAAACAAAAATATATTCAGCAATTAATACAAAAACTTGATTTCCACTGTACTCCATCCATTTCATCAAAAAAAAAGGCTTAGTTTCAATATATCAAGGACAACAGTGAGTCAACTTTTTCCTAACTTTTCCTATTAGTATTATTGCCATCAAACAAATATACACAACAAAATATTTACTGAAAATGTTTTGAACAAACCTTTCGAAATAAGCCTTGGAAGTGAAAGTTTGAGGAGAATGAATATCTCGCACTATCAAATTTTCTTCTTCTATTCTCCTAGCTAAATCTCCCTTATATGATTTAATATAAGCCAGTAGGTCCTAGATAAAGGTTAAAATTATAATCAAAGGATAGAAACAAGGAAATTTGTACATTAAACATGTTTAATACTGTAATTGTCGAAGACTATAGGTGAGGTGTATAGATAATAAGGACATTGTAATAACACTATATATTACACAGTATAATCAGATTTCTAAAACTTTATGAAACTAATCACTTACCGTGTACTGATGGAAGACTTGAACTGTACCATGCCATCTCTGTACACTTCCATTTTTTAATATCTTATTTCCTGAAATATATGAAAGTACAAGAATTTGTATAGTGACAAGATGGGTCTGATTACCCTGAATATCTTTCAAAGACTGCAATAGCTAATACTGTTTATTTGGTATTTAAAGACACACCAATGGACTAATGACTCTGCTGATGTGCAATATTGTCCAAAGATCAATCAGTTACCCCTTTGAGCTCCTTTACATGTAAGAAACATTCTTCTTCTGGAAAACTCAACTCTTAAACTCAGCATCAATATCAAAGCAACAATATAGTACTTGTTTAATTTGCTATTTGTATAAGACTAACCTGGTTTGATTTGTGTTAATGTTTTACGTATCTGTGTCATATGAGATTTAAATGTAGTATATTCAGTATCATCCCCACCTCGACCACGTAATATCTGGATAGAATCATTGGCTAATTTTAAAAACTCTGTCTTCTGACTAGCTGATAATCCTTGAAGCTGAAAATATTTATTTCAAAATAAATTTGATAAAATTTTTAGATATACACATCTAGAATGAAGACATTGCAGAATTTTATTGAAGGAACTGTACATAATTAAATATCTAATAGTTCACATGATAGCATCAAACTTGGTACTTTGCATTTTATTTGGCACTTTATGTCTGGTTCCTGTAGGCTAATATCAGCTTAAAACACTAGTGTCAATAATTGCCCATCATGGTGTGGAAGAAACTATGAACCTCTAGTATAGGAAGTGGGGTTTTATTCATGGATGTATTGAAAATTTAAGATTTTAAGATTTAATTACCTCTCTGGATTGAGTCTCTTTTGATATGATTGCCATAAACTGCATCAAATGTGATCTAAGTCTTTTTAACGTTGTGTCCCAATGAACCACTAATTGTTCACGTAATCTGAAATTAGGATCATTAACATATTATTCAAATACCTCATTTATTATGATTAGATTAAAAATCTCAAGACTTCATATAACTAGCTGTTACAGAGATAATGTAATCAATGATTATAAATCACCTGTAATTCATCATGTTTCACCAATAAGCACAAAGTTTTGCAGAACCTATAAATCCTTGCAACAAGAGGATGTTTTCTCCTATTTCAGGGGAAATGATTTGAAATGAAGTTAACCATTTTTTTCATTTTTTCTGACTGTAATTAACAAACATTAATCATATATATTGTGGACATACCATTGAATAGAAACTTACTTTTCTGCCTTTAAGAATGAAGTAGGATCAGGTGGTGTTATAACTAACACTATAGCTGGTACATCTGCTTCTATACCAGCCTGATTCTTTACTCTCCATTTCTCAGCATCTGATATATCTAACACAGTACACGCTTCATCTTTCTTTAAACTTATCTATATAATATCATATGAACAGGTTTCTTAATGCACCAGAGAAATGTATATCATCAATCAAAACAATGAAATTAGTTTAGAAAAGGTACAGGCCAGCAACACCACCAAAATACTCAGAGAACTCCTACCCATCTCAGCCCAGAAACTGGGTTGAAAATTAGGAAGACCAATTGGTCCAGTTTCTTTGAATCAATGAGTTGATGTACTGAGAAGAGATCATAGAATTGACGATGGGATGCAAACATCACTAGGCATTTAAAAACTTGATAATGCGAAATTTTACAAAATGTAAATGATTACCTCCTGATGACTATAGTCTATGAGAGATCTGGCAGTGACAGGATAATCTGGTAATTCTTTACGATGGTATATTGGACAGATTTGTTGCGCTGTTTCTCTTAATCTATCTAATCTACCTTGATAATCTAATAATCTACCAGTCATAAACTACAAATAAAAATAAATAGATGCTAACAATATGATGGAGTGGTATCAGTTTAAACAAAGTGTAACCTTTGAATACAACAAGAAATACAGTCTTAATATTTACTCAACCATTTAAACGAACCCAATTCTAGCAATCCATATCATTTGAAGATTACAAATGAAATAATTCTAAAATAACTTACTCGAAAATGGTCAATCATAACTTGGGGATCTTTAGTGATAACAGGTTTTCTTATACCATCAGTATTCAACCAGTGGAGAAAGGTTTCCATATCTTCATCAAGATGGGCCACATCATGATGGTACTGAAAAACAAGCAAGATTTTTACATGGTACTGTATAGCACCTTGTTAAACTAGTGGAGTGACTCATTTGATAGTATGTATTTGGTAGCCTCTAGATATCAGCATTAAATAGTCAACCCTAGACACAAATATCAGCCAATATCACACGCAAGTTTTTATAAAAAAAAAAAATTGCTGACATGACCATAATTTCAAGCTTAAATTGATCTGAATAAATTGTTCTTGAACATTATCAAGAGGAATAATAAGAACTATTTTAATGTCTTGTACAAACCTGATGAAAATCAGCAGCATTTTGAACATGAGTATTCAAACAGTGTGTAAGATGACTTATCCAGGCCCAACCTTTCTTAATATCATATGTACATTCCTAGAAAACAGATACAATACCATTATAGCCCTATATCTGAACCACAGTGCTTTATAGTAGGATATTAGTATACTGTATGATGTTTTATAATTCAGATATAAAATCTTTCCTCTAAATTTGGTGATTAAACTTGAGTTTAAGATTACAATAAGTTGCAATAGAGAAACTTAATCATGTCTATAATACATGAAGTCTTCTAATGTTATTTCAGAGAAGTCTCATAAGGGTGTAGAATAGGTAAATGGGTCTTTATAATTGAGTTGTGAACTTTATATTCAGTATGATTTGATTGTAATGTGAACATACCCTGTGCATTCGGGAAGATGACTCAACCTCTTCATCTCTATAGACACTATCAAATACAGGTTTACGTTCTGTTAGGTATAATGCTCTCTCTTCAAATTCACTCTGCACATTCTGTAATAATTGAAATAAAGTCAAATAACCAATAGTAAGTATCTCGCAAATACTACTATCTAAAACATACAAATTATACAGACAATGAATAATCAGATAGAGACAGAAACTTACTTGGAAGAGATTTTCTACTTCAGAAATATATAAAACTGTTTCTAGACATCTTTTTCTCTGCCATGTTAGATCCTGTCAAAATAGGCAATTGGTTTCAGTTATAAGGCTTTAAATAACATGAATGTAATCAAAATTGACATTGCAACTGTCAATAAAAACCAATACAATTGCTGCAAGATTTCAAATTTCTGCTTAAATAATCAGTTTCGTGGTTGAAGGGGAGAGCCATTAGAGGACTGATCCAGGAAACATCTATACCATCAAATAACAGTGTGAAGTACACTTGATGGAAATGATAATAATTACAATATAAAAATTTGACATTACCTCAACCACATTATATTCACTTTCTGTACTTTCAAAATCTTTAGTATGACCCTATAGTATGACAAAAATATGACAAAATAAATATATATATTCAGTTGAACAACTAGAAAGTTAATATGTTCTAACAAGCACAGTAGTAGGATGGAAGTAAGGAATCACGAAATTATGATGCCAGCTGATGGAGCATCCATATACATATATTTTGTCTTGTTTTACTTAAAAGCCCCATAAAGATAGATTGTTGATTAAGTTTTTAATTTAAAGACATGTAGTGAACAAGAATGGTAAGCATCACTTGAAAGCAATCCTTATAGGCTACATATAGGTTTTGATTTTTATCCTTGACACTTTTTATCTATACTTACCCTAGTTTTTTTAATTTCTTTTAACTTAGTTTTAATTTCTTTAACTTGTTCTCTCTCTGAATAGACATCTTCTATAGCTTGACATACAGCTATATGATTCTTCTCATATTCACAATCACAAATCTTTTTCTGAAAAATTCTATTAAACCTTGAGAAAAAATTTTAAAACCAGGGGAACCAATATTCATGGATTAACCTTTGAATTCTTGTCCCCTAGAAATATGTTTAGTTCATTATCAATGTCTTGAATGGCATTAATTACTGAAAGATGGAAAAACAAATAATTAAGATAATAATGGGGTATGAAATATAAGTGTTATTATTTATCAAGAATCCAGGTTATTTTCATCAGTACACCATGTGATTTGTTTGCAATTTAGTTTGAACACTGACATATGGCTAGTGACAGTTGACCTGGAGGGGGGTCATTAAAAACCTGTATAACAGGTCATACCAGGTGAACTGGGGCAGATACAGTATGCTACAACAAATACTTATCATATTTTAAAATGAAATCGAATATAGCCTATAGGCAAAAAATGAACAGAAATCTTTCATTTTCAAAGAAATGAATATATTTTTCATGTTTAATACTTTCATTTTAACTATTATTACTTACATTTAATTGGACAATGTTAAATTGATCTAACCAAGTTAATGATTATATATTTGTTCAATACTGGCTGAAGATAGGAACAATATTGTATTTCATTCACAAGTTGCTGTTAAATGTCTATTCCTGGCAGATGCATACAAAGCTAGACTGAAATTTCCAGAGAGTGATCAAGTTCCCTTGTCTATCAACATTTAAAGTAAATAAATAGGAGCCTCGTTCTGTCAAAAGTATATATCAAATAGTATAATATTGTTATAAAATTTTAAATCCCCAATAGGTGGTAGGGTTAACAAGTTTAGACCAGGTATATTACCATTTATAGCACTGAATTACTGCTCTAGAATAGCAGGTTTCTAGATCATACAGTACTATAGGTGAAATATGTGACTTTACAACCATTATAACTGTACAGTAACATTCTTACAGACATGTACATCTCTATTTCATACTACCTTGTTACATTACTACACCTTTATCAACAGCTAAACTTTCTCTATAGTGATATTATAGTGTCAGTCAATTTTTAGGTCAAATTTCATCAACTATTGTTGAATCTTCACCCAAAAACATCTAAGTTTTAATGAGTACATGTATACTACTAGTTGTTGAGAATAGTGTCCTATGATTTGTTGTGAAACTTTAAGATGATGATCATGATCATTGTGTTGATGCATGCAACAATATGAGACATCACCTAATCTGTATTTATAGTATGAGACATCACCTAATCTGTATTTACAATATGAGACATCACCTAATTTGTATTTATAGTATGAGACATCACCAAATTTGTATTTACAATATGAGACATCACCTAACCTCTATTTACAATATGAGACATCACCTAATCTGTATTTACAATATGAAACATCACCTAATCTGTATTTACAGTATGAGACATCACCTAAACCCTATTTACAATATGAGACATCACGTAACCTCTATTTACAATATGAGACATCACCTAACCCCTATTTACAATATGACATCACCTAACCTCTATTTACAATATGAGACATCACCTAACCTCTATTTACAATATGAGACATCACCTAACCCCTATTTACAATATGAGACATCACCTAACCTCTATTTACAATATGAGACATCACCTAACCCCTATTTACAATATGAGACATCACCTAACCTCTATTTACAATATAAAGCATCACCACATAATGATTTTGTGTGTTTGATGTAAAACTACCAATGATATAAAGAAATTTAAGTATTAAAGTGATCATTATATGATATCAGAAAGACCAGACATATTCCTTTTACACTATTAGACTACTACCAATCAATTTCTATTATCTCATCTTATCTCAAAGACACAATCTAACATGGGAAATTAAACGAAAAATTACTCCATAGATATTTCTGTCTAAAAAAAACCATAATATTGCCATCAGTTGCTTGTTTTAATTTAAAGCCAAAATTTGATCGTGCAGTAAGAATCTGTGATTAAACTTGCTAGTTATCAGTCAATTTCTTGATGGCTCATGTGGAGCTTTAAATGGAAGGTTAATTTTAATTGTCAAATATAGCACCTTAATTATAGAAGACATTAAAATATACTGTATACTTCAGCTATTAGAAACTAGAACAAGCCACTTAATATTCAGCTGTCACTTACAATAAGATTAATCTTTCTTGATTTGCTTTATTAATTCACTATAAGGATAGGTTTAATAATAATAAACGTTAGTCAACAATCCAGTAGTCAGTCCAGTAAAACTGGTTCTAAACATTTCAATTATTTACCTAGTATACCTATCATTGTTCCCGTTATTTAAGGTGGACCTACAAATACTAAGACCTATATTCCTACACAAGAAATGAGATCACCAGTTCAACAAGAACACTTTTTACTCAAAATATTCAACATATATTGCTTCCTAATGAGAATTAGATTCCATATTGATTGTTGCCAAAAATCTGTCATCGCTTAAGGACAGGTCCCTTCATGGACAGCAGCTGAAAATACTCATAAAATGATCTGGAGGAAGTGCTACAACCCGTGGAAACATGTTGAAAACTAGCAGTCCAAAATAAGGTTATTTTATTTTGAATATTTATGAATTGATAGAAAATATAATAGAGAATATAAAAAAAGTCTATAATATTTCAAAATATATATAATGGAATACTGTATTACTATTGAGAATTATCTATCATAATATAAATCAGAGGCAGGGAAGTGTAAACAAACAATATACTATGATCACTGATCGAAGGTTGTCTTTGAATATGATTCATTAATAGACTCTCATAAAGATCATTTTCATGTTGAATTACTCTTTTTTTATCATGGTTTGTTTACAAAAGTTAATAGAGGAACAAATAATACATGTATTGTATATCAATTGATAACATTGATAAGGAGGTACCAGATATACCTATCTACTATAACTAACAGAAGACTTACAAAGACAATATCTATAAGTTATCAAAATAAAACACAATACTATCATCTGTCATGCAACCCACAGTTAGGTGATGCCTAGTATTTTATATGCTCAAAAACACATCAATAGAGAACATCAATGGAAAATATCAATAGAGAGCATCAATAGAGAACATCAGCAATGACTACTAAATATATACCAGTGCATAAGGTGAGATGACACAAGATTGAGCACAAAATCTTTGAGTTCAAATAATTCAGATTCAAACAATGGATTCACTTAGCCATCAATATTGGTATCTTTAGTTCTAAAGAAAATATATGTATGCAGAAGGGCAGACTCTATTGTTTAAGTGATTCATATTTATAACCCTTCATAACAGGAAACATAGACAGGGGAAATGGTCTCATTTTCATTGGACAAAAAAGTGTCATTGAGTAACCTTTCAAAAAGGATACCATCTTTCCTAGCTAAAAATGTGTGCATTTAAACCATGTCAAAATACACCATTGTTAGATATTAAAAACTTGACATTAATGTAGAAGATTTTATTACAATTACAAATAAAGTGGAACAAAACACAGCAGGATGTTCAAAGAAACAGTATCTTTAGCTTATGCACAGTAATTCAGTAGAAATTCGTGAAAGCTATAATAATGTGTAAGTTTTAAGAATAGAACAACAATACATGTATATCAGAACATCCCATATATCATATAGATGATCTTGATGGTAGAACAGAATGAACTGATGGATATATATTTACATTAATATTACTGTTGACCATCTTCAGGATGGGCCTTGTTTTTTGACATTTTATAAAATAAAAAACTGTGTTTCGTTTTATCAAGGAAATTAAGTATCAGTTACAACAAGTTAATAAAACTAAATGAACTTAGACAAAAATCCTTTAAATATGAAAAGAATTTATAAGGAAAACAAGAAGAGTAGATTATGTGTAAATATAGACAGAGTGATTTCAAACAAAGGTCAGACTAGTGACATATTAGTATTTATTATATTTTACACTACCTTACATAGTGTAGGAAATACTTATATTACTAAAATCAGTCATAGATCTGTCAAACATGGGGAAATTGTGGTTCATGAAGTAACCAGGAAAACCAGAGATGACTTTCTGAAATCCTCTCGATCAGTTGTCCATGATATTCTTGTGACCTTGAGATCAATTTCAAAAGGTTTCGATATTGGAAGACATCAGCTAAAGGAGTGCTTCTCAATGGGGTGCTTGGGGTGAATTTGTAATGCTGGGGTGAAAATTTGAAGTGTTAGAGATTTTTTTTTTTTTTTTTGTTTAAACAATATTTATTGATAATTTACAAAATCATACATATGCTATAGATTAATGTTGGTTTCAGAAACAAGCCGAAGCTTATATAAATCTGTTACCAATACGAATATTTACAGATGATAAAAGTATAACTTACATAATGTAGGAGTTGACAGCAGCGAAATGTACATTGGAAACAAAACAGGAAGTGACAAACATATTTACAAAAGGAAAGGGAATAGGGCCGAACAAATTCATTGGTGAATAAAATGTTATTGATAATGACAAATGAAAATAGTTGAGAGGGGATGAGGGTGTTTATCGTTAATCAAAATAAAATAATCTTCGTTTTAA